CAATAAAATACTCTTTTTTAAAAAAGCTCATACATTCACATAAAGCCTTGTACTATAGCAGCTTTATTGATAGTACCCAAAACTGGGAATAACCCAAAATCCATTAACGAATAGGTAAGTCAAGAATGCATTTCTTCAACTTGGAATGCACAAATGATGGTATATGCATACAAAAGAATAGTACTCAAAAATAAAAAGAATAATTACTGGACATGCTACAAAAAGATAAATCTCCTAACAGTTGTCCTGAGTGAAAGAAGCTAGACAGACAAAAAGAGTATATCTGTATGATTTCTATTTACATAACATTCTGTAAAAGTACAAACGAATCTATACTGACAAGACAAATCTGTGGTTGCCTGTGTAAGGCAGTGAGGGTGGGGATGAGAGAGAGCAAAGGCTTACGAAGGCTACAAGGACACCTGAGGGTGATGGATATATTCATTATCTTAATTGTGATAGTTTCATGGGTATATATATATGTGTCAAAACTTATGAAAGTGTATGTTTTAAATACGTGTAGTTTATTGTATGTCAATTATACTTCAATAAGCTGTTGTAAAAAACTCATTGAACTCTATGGAAATGATATCTCCATTAGAACTTTTTTTTTTAAAGGACTCAGAGAACTGACTTCTGCCTTGACTTTGGGGGCCCTCGACCTACCAGTGGCAGCCACCAAGCTCTGTTGCTTTGGGCTGGTCCCTGGTCTCTCTGGGAAGCTGTTTGGTGCCTGTATTTCATGAGTCTAAGGATGAACAGAGAATCTCAGGCAAACAACAATGACATAGGGTTAAATCAGACCAGATTTCCAGTCCAAACCCTGGGGGGAATGCTGAGCCACTTTAAATTCCATCCATCTATCCCGGTGTGTTTGTACAGCAAGAGCCTGTTGTACTTAAAGTACTTATCTTGGCGCGAGGGCCAGGGATGCTGGGAGAGGGCAAATATTGATGCTGGCTGCCTGGGTTCTCCCCACAGGCTGTGGCACTAAATCCCCTGCTCTGCTGATGAGAGCCATGGGAGGGCCCTGGCTGGCCCACGGGGTGCTGCGTCTTCCTGAACGCGGCTTATGGAGTGCTGTTTGGGAGGTGGCGAGGGCATCTGCTTCTGTCCAAAAGGAAGAACCAATAAATAAGAAAAGAACAAATGCTGGTCTGCTAGCCACCAACCACCTCCTGTTTTTCCAGGCTGCTGCCCCCTGGCCCAGGCGCCAGCTGTCTCTTCTAGGGAGTCCTGGCCGAGAAGGGGTGAGACATTAAGGAGGGGTATGGTGGGCTCTGGATTTGGGCCTATCAAGGTTTGATCCTGGTTAAGTCCTTTAAAAGCTCTGTGATCTTAAGCAGCTTCATGCCTCTGTAAAGGGCACATAACCGACCCAGTTTCCTAGAATGTCTGTGAGGATTAGAGAAAATGAGATACAAGAGATAAGGCACACAAAAGTTTGCAGTGTTGCTTGACATGTACTAACTGCTCACTAAACATTGGCTGTTAATATTTATTCCCCTAACACAGCAGTTGGCCCTCCCCTTTGTTTCTGCTTGAAGCTCTATTGTTTCCAAGTGGTGTTTACATTGTAGCTCTCACTTTTTCCTCTCCATAAGCCTGCAAGATAGTCTGGCCGTGACCTCCTTATTCCTAATGGACAGAGGAGGGAGCCTTCCTGGCAGCCCCTCCGCAGAAGGAGGAATACAGTGTGTTCTTCTTGACGAACTCCTCTGCCAGCTCCCTGCAGCCTTGCGTCAAGTTCACTCCCTGCAGCCCAGAATCTGAAGCTCGCCCTCGCACTTCAGCCATGGGGGGCTGCTTCACACTCCTCAGCCAGGACTGCCCTGTCCTGCTTCCCACCTGGCTCCATCATGGCTCTGCTCCGGCATCATCAACGCTGGAAGCTTCCAGACCACATGAGACATAGCATAAAACAGCGAACTACCCTGGCTAAGTGCCCAAACACCTGGCTCTGTGCCCCACCGGTCACATGCCCTGCAACAAGCTGCCTGGCCTGTCGAAGCTTCATGTAAAAACAGCATCTCCCTCAGAGCGTTGTGGCGAGAAAGAGAGGTAAAGCTCTCAGCGCAGTGCCTTGCTTGTAGTAAGGGCAAGGCAAGTGCTAATGTGTGAATGTGTGCACTTAGGAACCTGGCTTTTACATTTGTGACAACTTGGGTCTTAAGAGTATCATGCTAAGCAAAATAAATGAGATGGAGAAGGGCAAAAACCATATGATTTCACTCATGTAGGATATAAAACAGAAAGCCACAAACAAACAAGCAGAACAAACAAATAAACTCATACACACAGACAACAATATGGTGGTTACCAGAGGGGAAGAGGGCTGGGGAGAGGATTAAGAGGGTCAAGGGGGTCACACGTTTGGTGACGAAGACTAGACTGTGGCACACAAGGCAATATACAGACACCGTATGACAGAATTGTACACCTGAAACTTAGATACTGTTACTAACCAATGTCACCCCAATACATTTAATTAAATTTTAAAAAAGAAAAGAAACCTGGCTTTTAGTTTCTGCTACTGACACAGTGAGTAGACTTGGACAAGTTGGTCTCAGCCTTGGTTTCTCCATCCTGTAAAACAAAGCTCTGTGCCCCTAGGGGTCCATGGAAGGGCTTGTTTGGGAGGGGAGGGTAAAATGATGTGCAACGGTGAAGCTGGTGCCTCTGGGAGTTTCTCAGAAAAGAGCCGCAGGCCACTAAGACGGGCTGACCACCAAGGCCCACCCCCCTCTCTCCCACGAGGCCCAACCACAGCACCTCCAGTCCCTGCCAGGAAGTGGGTGCTCTCCTGCTGCATGAAAAGGCTGACTGGTATGAGCGAGCATAGGCTCATGATCTGGTGGTTTCTCCCGAACAAACTGGTTTTCAACAACCGATGCTCAGGGCGTCAGGAACACGTTGACATTTGAGTGCTGGAACGAGCTTCTTGTTCTACACCCTGTCTTCCTCAGGAGGCCGGCATTCTGTTGGAAAAGGCACGGCCCAGGGCAGGAGGACCAGTGTGCTCCTTCTCAGGTCTCTGGACTCCTCGGTCTTCCTCTTCACCCACTCACTCCCACCAAGTAGGTCCCTACAGCCCGTGTGTTCCACCAGTAAGTAGCCCTTAATCATCCCTTCTACTCTGCCCACTTGGTCCAAGTCCTGGCATCTCTCTCGGGCTGTTGTAATTAAAGGTCATTGTAACTCCAGAGAGTGGCGTTGCTTATCACACCTTATCACCGTTGTCCTTAGGATGAAGCGCGACCTGCTGTGTCTTCTGGGATCCTGTCCCTGCTCACCTCCTCTCCTCCTCACTCCCACGCCACAGCTGTTTTGGCCCCCCGACCTGCTGGCGTTCCCTGGCTGAGCCATAGCCTGTCACACACCCACGGCTTCATTCACAGGGCCCCTCAGTGGGGAATGGCCTTCACTCCCAGCTGTCACACTGGAAGTTCTCCTGCCCTCCAGAGCCAGCCCAAACGCCGCTCCTCTGGGAAAGAAGCCCCTCTGGGTCGGGGCTCAGGACGCCCCGAGTGCACCCACAGCTCCTCGCTTGTGCTGCAGTTGGAGGGAAACTCAGCCACAGGTGACAGAGCCCAGGGCTGACTGTCCCTCAGGCAGAATCCCTGAAGTGACCTCTTCTAGGAGCTGGTCCTCAGTTCATCGGGGTCAGGAATGTGCTTGTGTCCTGGCTCCCAGAGGCCCCTCTTCAGTAGCCTCAACCTAGCCTTCCCTGCGGTTGCCCAATCCTTCCATGGTATGAGGTGCCTCCTCCATGAAACCCTGTTCTCCTCTTCTGCTGGGATTCAGGTCTCTTCACTCCTGGGTGCCCGGCAGCCAGCTTGGCCCAGAGCAGGTGTGTAGACTCTTTAGCAAGTGATGAATGAACTAGAGCTCACCTGTCTCTCAGATGCCCATGTTTAGTCCAAAACTCACCCAAGACTATTATGTAAAACTGGTTTTATTAATTTCCAATGAGGATAGGTCTGTCTTCCTCAACAGGAGCCCTCTTCTTGGCTAGATCCCCTGCAGGGACTCTGCATGTCTCACTTCCCCCACGAGCCAAGCTATGATCATCCTGGTAGCAGGAAAGGTTTTAGGGTTGGGACAACACAGAATATGTTTGAATCCTAGTTTCAGCACTGACTCTGCTATATGATCCTGGGTGAGATGTTTCTCCCTCTGGGCCTCAGTTTCTTCATCTCTTTAATGGGAGCAACCATCCTTGTGTGTCTGGGCGTTATAAAGCTGGAAATGTATGGAGAGAAACAACTGATTCTCTCAGGCTCTGGGACCAACATGCAGTCCCTACTACAAGAAACCTGGGTTGTGTGTCTGGGCACTGGTCCCAAGGTGGAGGACGGGAGTGGGCGGGTGGACAATGGGAGGGGTAGAAGGGCTGCTTTTCCTCCAGACCTTCTACTCTATGGCTCAGAGCCTCCTGGATGGCTTCCCACTGACAGGATGACAAAGCCCCATCTCAGGTAAAAGTTCACGTGATCAGTCAATAGGACCTGCTAGGATTACTGAGATGAGAAAAATGCTAAAGCTATAGCCAAGCCCATCATTATCTGCCTCAGGTACCAAAGAGACAGGAAGTGGTACATGCTCCACATAAGGGCTAAATTCCTCGGCTTAATGTTTGAACCCCAGACTTGTCTTTTCTCCAAGGGGTGATAAGGTCAAAATCTGCAAGTCTGTCTTAGAGCAGAGTAGCAAATTTCCTCTGTGTGGCCCCCGAAGCAGGCCTGAACTCATGGAAGCAGTTTCCCCTCACCTTTGTTCGTGAGTTCCCTGTCACTGGAGGCATTCAAGGAGAGGCCGAACATCTTGAAAGTAGGAAAGTCACGTATTTTTCAGAGACAACAGTGTGTAGACCTCATGAGATGAACTTGAAGTCTCCTTTCTGCCCTCTTGTTCTTTGATTCAATGCTCATGAGAAGGATCGCCAGTGCCATTCAACCAGCCTCGTGCCCTGGCCTGGGTGCCTGGGCCTGGGTGCCCGCTTAGTGTCCAGGACAGGAGTACTCATCAGACCAGTCAAAGCAGTGCTGCACGTGGTCCCGGCAAAGCCTCCTTGGGATACAGCCACAATACTTGAAGACAGTTGAGGAGCAGCGCCACCACCCAGGGCCACAGGGTGGGCATGCAGTCACTGGAGGAACAAGAGACGACAGAAGAGTAGCTGTAGTGTCCTGGAATGCCTTGGACACTCTCTACCTCTGACACCTGCCATAGCTCCCCAGACCCCGTCCCATCTGACATTATTTCCTTATTTCCCTGTGGGAGAGAGAATCTAGATCCCAATTCGTGGGTTTTGTGACCTCAAGGAAGCCTCTTACCCTGTCTGAGCCTCAGTTTCTTCATCTGTTCAAGATTGTTATTTAAGAATAGTGAAAGGGGCATGGTCAATGTTCAAATATTAATGGGTGCATATTGTCTACCGCAGCCCATTCTCCCTCCCTCACCCTGACTCAGCCACACCAGTCCTCTTAAAACTCCTGCAGGTGCCTCGGACTTCCTTCTTCTGCCCTGCACCCTGGGCCGCCAGCATTCTTCCCTGCACACCCAGCATCTGCCTGTTAAAACCCTGTCCATTCTCTAAGGCCTGCTCGAATACTGCCTCTTTTGAGAAGTCTCCCTTGATCCTTACACCCTCCCTTTCCAAAAAAAAAAACCTTCCCAGGTCCTCGTCACTTCCTTTTAGCATCAGCATGATGTGAGTCCTGTGGATAGGACACATGTTTGACTCCTGATTGTCCTCCAGCGGAACCTGGCACAGGCTGAGCCCCAAGCAGTGTTCAGACCATGTTTGTTGATAAAACACCAGGGAAAAGAATGAAAGGACACTGGGGCAGTAAAATACGCCAGACTTGGAGTCAGGAGGCCTGGAGTTAGGGAGGGTGTCCTAAGTTCCCTTCCTGTCATTCATTGTATTAAGTCCCTTCTCCTCTCTGGCCTCAGTTTATCTACATATAAATTAGGACCAGTGATTCCTGCCCTGCTTTCCTCACAGGGTTGTTGGGAGGGGCAGAGGAGATTAGGGACACTCAGGTTCAAACCCCAATAGGGCCACATACATACTTCTTGCATGCTTACCCTCTGAGCCTGAGTTTCCTCATCTGTTAATTTCCTCAACACAGAAAAATAAGTCTCCAGAGGGAACCATTTGGTATGGTAGTGAGCACCCCACGACTGGAGGCATCCAAACAGAGGTGGAAAATTTCTTTCTAAGATGCAAGGAGATGATGCAGGGGGAACCTCAGAGATTTCCTGGTCAACCTCCGCTCTCTGGTTGCTACCTGGCCACCGGTATAGCCTAGTATGTGCCCAGACCCGTACCTGGGATCTGTTCATCCGAGCAGTCCCCACAGTTGTTGGTTCCGTCACACCTTTGGTCTGAGTAGATCCAGGATGCTGGGTCTCCACAGCGGGCCACAAGGAATCTGGGGAGGCTCTGGGGCACATCCCCTGCAGAGGACAGATGAGGCAGGAGGAAGTCCACATCTGGCCACAGCTGTCTCAGGCATATCTGGAGATGGATTGTCCTGGCCACCTTGGCAGTTGCCAAACTCACAGTCACTGTGCATCCCTCCCAAAAAGGGCACAAGGAGAAGGTTTCCCAGGGAGGAGGTTGAGTCAAAAGGAGAGAAATGTTCTTTGCCTGTACATCCACACAAGATGTACATCCAACAAGATGCCCAGACAGCCGCCTCTCCTTTCCTCATTCCTTACTCAGATCTTGTGCATCCCCACCCCACACCACTGCCTGCACTGTCCTCCCTCCAGAAATGTGTGCTTGACACCTCTCCAAAACCATTCCACTCAAGTCCAAGTTCAAGTTCCTTCATCTCCAGGAAGTCCCCTCCAACTGGAATACAGCAAGAATAAACGTGAGGTCTTGCATTTGAGTCCCAGAACTCAGAGGATATGTGTTCACGTACCTTGTGAGAGGGAGTCAGAGCACTTTTCTTGAAAGTGGGTTCTGTGTTAGGCAGCAATGCAACAAAGCTACCAAAAATTAACACAAACTCAGGCACTATCACTAGACATATAAGCCAGACGTGGGAGGGGGAAAGCCTTTGTTCCTTGGACTAGCCAGAGCTGGTCAGAAGTGTCATGAATGCTTCTGGAGCCTGTTCAGGGAGATGGGCATGGCAGCTGTGTGTGTCCCGTGGAGCTGGCGGAACGGGAAGACCCATCACAAGGGGGATGCCTGGGAGTTCTGAGTGGGGCCCAAGGGAGAGGACACTTATGTGGGGCAAAAAAGCAGTCTCCAAATTCATGCAAAGCCACTATCATGGAGGTAGATTAAGATGTGGTTCGTGGGGGGCAGGAGTTGATAAGACAGCAGAGTTGGAGCCAATGAACAGTGCGTGTGGGAGACATTCCCATGGAAAAACGCAATGATGGGAGCAGCTGCCTCAAGTTGCTGTGAGCTCCCCATCCCAGGTGTACGCAGGCGGAGGCTGGGGCGCCTCTTTTGGGTTTGTTCTGGAGGGCATTTGGACATGAGCTGGGACGTAGCTAGGTGACTTTTAAGTTCTCTTCTCGTCTTGAGGGTTTATGATGTAATGACTCTCCCCTCATTGGCTCCCTTACTCCACCTGCTCCAATTTACCAAGCTCTCCCTCCTCCATGGAAAGGGCCTGGCCCCTCTCTTCTGAGAATTGTCAGGTTGTTAAGGTCTGGGACAAGGTCTTCCCATCCATTCATTCATTCATTCATTTACTCACTCATTCCATCATTCATTCAGCAAATCATTCCGAATACCCCTCTGTGCCAGGCACTCGGGACCCACGGTCAAGCAGACCAGGCCTGACCTGAGGAGTTTATAGTCTGATGGTCATGGCAAATATGCCAACTGAGAGTGACAACCAAGGCGACTAGGGCTGGGACACAGGGAAGCTCAGGGTCTGTGGGAGCCCAAAGGAGGAACTTTAACGTAGTTTGAGAGTTAGGGAAGTCTTTCTGGCGGAGGTAACCCTTGAGCTCTGCCATGAAGTTTGAACACAGATCCTCTGGCATGGAGAGGCGCAGAGTGAAGGCATTCCCTAATGTGGGCATTCACGTCGTGTGCAGGGATGGGGTTGGGGGCAGGTGTCCTAGCTGAGGGCACCATATAAGTAAAGGCCTGGGGACACACAGGCACCTGGTAATTTCAGGGGCAACTGAGCTTCATTTTGGCTGCAGGGATTGTGGGAGTTGGAGGGGCAACCCCAAAAAGCTCTGAAAGGCCCACTCAGGGCAGGGGCGGGACTGAGCGGGTACTCACGGCACAAGGCCTCATCCTCATCCTCGCCGTGGGGACAGGTGCGGATGCCATCACAGACACTGCTGGCCGAAATGCAGCTCCTCTGGTCACGGCACAGGAAGCCTGTCCTGTTCGTCAGTGTCACACAGGCCTGGGCCACTGAGTGGGCAGGGGGTGGCCCCGGAGGGCCAAAGATGGTGCTCACAAGGACATCACAAGGTTCCCGCGCCTGAGACCTACCCTAAGCTGGCCTGAGGGGCTGGGGCAGTGAGGGGGGATATTGGGCTTGGGTCTAGAGGCCAAAGTCCCAGCTCTACCACTTGCCAGCTGAGTGACCTTGGGCAGATGACTCAACCTCTCTGAGCATCAGGTTTCTCATCTGCAAAATGGGGATCCTAGTACACACCCACAGGACTGCTGGGGAGACTTACATAACCCCCGAACATAGCATGCGCCACGGCACAGTTCCCTCCTTCACTGAAACCTTATGGACAGGCTCACAGGAGGCTCCTGAGGCCTGGGCCCTGGCAGTGAAGTGGTCTTAATGGCAGAGCTCCTGGCCCCAGGTTAGGTTATCAGAAACAGTTTACCAGGCCTGGCCTGGGGACGGTCATGTCATCATTCCATATGAGTACGTATGGTCACAACTTTATAGTCTGCAGAGCACTTGCACATTTTTATTCTGTTGTTTCCCTAAACCCCTTTGAAGTATCATCATTAGCCCCATTTTATAGATGAGAAAAGGAAGACTCAGGGAGGTGGGGTGGGGCCCCTCACACAGCTCATAACCCAGGCCGGCTGTTGCGGCGCTTTCCCGAGGCTGGGGCTGCCTCCCCAGTGTCCAGGAATGGTGGGCAGCCACCTGCGCATGTCTGTCCTTCTGACAGCCTTCCCTCCTGTCCCAAGAGCTGCTGCAAAGAATTGAAGGAGAGAAACTGTCAGGTGAGCTGAGAGGCCACCCTGGCTCCACAGGCCGTGCATGTGAGGGCGGGTTTGTGCTGTGCATTTGAGCGTGTAGAACGAGGTGTTAGCTCGTGTGAGAGGGACTTGCTCTCAGAGACTCTCACATTGTCACACACACACATACACGCATTAATGCACACACACATACACAGACATGTGTGCACATACGCACATAGACATGTACGTACATACATAGACAGAGAAAACGCAGACACACAGACACAGAGACACACGTATGTACATACAGGCACATGAATGCAACCCCTCAAGCATGCACATTTGCCCTAAGTGCCTGTGTTTCTGCACAGGCATGCAGAGAGCTATGGATTTACCCCCTCCCCCGCCTTGTCCCCTTACACCCCCAAGTCTGGCCACAGAGCAGTCTGTCAGAAAGGGAGATGTGGTGAAACCTTATACCCAGCTCAGCCCCCTTCCTGACGTTCTCTAGATGGTGACCTCCCTCCTCTTTGAGGCCCTGGGCACCTGGCCCCGCCCACTACTCCAACCCTCTGTGTCCACTGACCTCGCAGCCTCTCCTTCTCCTCACGGTTCCTCCCACCCTAAGGACTCCGCACACAGTGTTCCCTGTGCCTGGGATGCTTTTCCTGCCACCACCTCCACTAACCAATCCCCACTTTCCCCTCCTGCCTCAGCTCCCTTTCACTTTCCAACAGGCCCGCTCTGACTCCTGGACTGCGTCAGAGGCCCTATTCCAGACTCTGAGTCCCGTTAACCCTGCTTCAATGTGCTTATCTAATTAACATTCGTGTTGCTCTCCAACCTGTTAGCTCTGTGAGGGCAGGGACCGTGTTGGGGCTCAGTGCTGAAGCCGGGGCCACGGGGGAGTGCCAGACACACTCCTATCCTGTATGATGGAGGCAGACACACATATGGATGGCACCACCCCGGACACCAAGCCAGAGGAAGAGGTTTCTAACCCAGCCTGGGGGTCAGGGAAGGCTTCCTGGAGGAGGTTGGTCATTAGAGCTGGATCCTCTCAATAGCTCATATTATAGGAGTGTAAATGGAGGCTCTGAGACATGTTAATGTCAGTGTATGCACCCGAGTCTGGGCACACACCCTGAGGAATTGTCCAAAAGTCACTTCGTGGAGAAACCAGGCAGGGTCAGGTTTCCCCCATTCCTCTGTGCTCCCCATCCTCTCCCAGCAAGTCAGACCCACCCTCTCTTGACCACCCTGACCTGGTGTACGCGGTGGGGGTCCAAAGATGGCGACCAAGGCAATCAGGGCTGCAAGAGTTGCCAGCAGGAGCAGCACAAAGGCCGAGAGGCAGGCCCCGTGGCGAGAGCAGCAGGAGGGGGCGCAGCCTGCGGTGGGAGCAGGAAACCAGTGAGGGAGCAGCCAGCGCTGGGGCCCAGGGATTCCCCTCCTCTGGCCCTTCCTGTAAGTGGCCTGTCCCTCCTTGGGTATCTAGGGGCAGAAAGAGGTTCCCTGGCTTTGATGTTCTTAGTTCTGCCTGTGAGCCCAGCCCCACCAAGTGCCAGTCCCTGGTCTTTGTCCTGTTGCTAGTGGGTGGCAGCTGGGATCAGGAGGGTCCCAGGTCTCTGTTCCACCACCCTTACACTCCTGTCTTTCCACAAGGCTGTCTCCTCAGGAGGCAATCAGAAATGGACACCTGCTTTTTGAGCCCCTGTCCTGGGGCAGAAACTATATAGTTAGGTCTTTCTATAGCCATTATTTTTATTACGCAAAACAATGTTTCATAGATGAGGACACTGAGACTCAGAGAAGACAAGGTTCCTGTCACCTCGGGCAGAGCTGAGATGTGAGTTCACACTTATTTTCTGCCCAAACCAGAGTTGTTTCCACGATGCCAACTGATTGTTCACTCTGCAGCCCGCCAGGACGCTGGTTGGAGTCCCAGCTCCCCTGCTTCCCAGCAGGGCTCCACTGAGACATCACTTTACTTCTCTGTGCCTATTTCCTTATGTAGAAAATGGGGGGTCATAATATCTGTGATAGGGTTGTTGAGAGGATTAAGCTAGTGAGTATATTAAAACAGTGCTTGGCGCTTAGTGCTATAAAGGTTTTAGCTATTGTTAGTGTTTCTGGAGCATCTACTATGTGCCACGCTGAATCCTTGGCACTATGGAAATAATGTTAATTGGGGACTTCCTGCTGCTTTAACTTACTTTGTTCCTTTGATTTTTGCTTGCCTGTGAACTAATGAAAGAAAGCTTTATTGAGGACTTATTAGGTGTCCTGCTCAGTAGAAGACACAAAAGCAGTCTTAACTTAGGCTGTTGCCCTCTGAAAGTTTGCAGTTGCACTTAGAAGGCAAAGCATGGACAGGTTGAAAGGAGAGTGTGGGTACAACTGCTGTCCTCTGGGCCCCAGTTATTTCAGAGACAGAAGCAGGACAGGCCTGAAGCATCTGTGTCTCCAGGATCCAGCCCAGAGGCAGGCACACAGCGGTAGGTACTTTGTGAATATTCTGACCCAGAGCTCCAGGAGACTAGAAAAAGGCCCCCGTTCAGGTCAGGTCAGGTCATTTCCATCCAAGCCACTCATTCAACCCATATTTGTGGTGCTGCCTATTCTGCTCGCCTGCTAGTCAGATCTGCCCCTGTGCAGCTCACAGAGCCAGACAGTCAGTGTGGTTAAGGAAGTGTGCGCAAGGTGCCATGGGATTTCCATCGGCAGGTGAGGGGAGGGTGCAAGAACAGAGCGCTCCAGGTAAGGAGTATAGGAGGGGTAAAGGCTTGGTGGGTGGTATTGGGGGGACAGCAAGTGACCTGATGTGGCAGGAGCCTGGAATGGGTGTGTGTTGGGAAAGAAGGCGTTATTAGGAGATGCAGTGTAAATCTAAAACTGATAACTTCTACAGGCCCCAGTGGGTGGTTTCCTTGTTGTCAGCAAACACAGGGTAAACTCAGGTAACCAGAGAGACGGGACAATGTGATTCTGGGCAAGAAGAACGGCCTGATCAGCCGAGCAGGCACTCCTCAAATATTTGTGCAGCACAGGCCATGGGCAAGATGGGTCACGGGAGAGGCGCAGGCAGAACCAAGGCCCACGCCCAGGTGGAGGCGCTGCCCTCAAAAGCTGGGAAGCCCCTGAGGCACCAATCCCGACTCTAGACAGTTGGGGGAAAAGAAGCCATTTGTTCCACAGCCACGCCCACTATGAGCCAGGACTTGGAAATAAACACCACCAGTGTGGAGCAACAAAGGCACCGGGGCTTTGCAACCAGAGGGACCCCAATTTGAATTTGAACCCTGTCTCTCCCACCTCTCAGCTGGGTGTGATCCCAGCTTGGCCAAGTGACCCAACCTCTTTTAGCCTCAGGTGCCTTATTTGTTATTGCCCCATAACAAGTCCCCTTCTCAGAGCTGTCCTAAGGATTAAAAGAGGCCATGTCATGCCAGACACATAATAGGGTCTTGATCCTTCGTAGCTATGATTAGTATCTACCCCTGGGTCTGCTTCTTCATTGATCAAATGTAGTCAAGGCAGAGTACCTAACAGATGCTCAGTCAATGTGTGTTTCTTCCTTTGAACTTCTGCTAGTCAAACAAGTTGGTGGCACACAGCAAATGCTAAATAAGTGTGTGATCCCACCTACTTCATCCCCCAACAGTTAAGAGAATTGCCCAGGTCACCCACTGAGTCAAGTATTTGACTCCAGGGCTTTTTCCTTTATAAGTTACAGGTAGACTCTGTATGTGGTACAGTGCCTGTGAGGTAGGCAGTATACAACAGGTGCTCAACAAATGCTTGTGCATGGAGAGAATGAACAACCCCATTAAGCAGCTGGCTGTAAGCATGGCCAGCCAGGAAGATGGGAGTCAATGACATCAACATAGGGGGCAGAGGTCTGAGGGACAGTGGGAACCTTAGGACGTCCTCTTTGTGCCTCTGTAGCAACAGCCCAACCTCGGGGAACCCACCCTGGGGAGGGGGCCCACAGGCCACTGGCCCCAGGCCCCTCCACCCTTTACCCTCTTTTCCAGGAAGGACTTTGTTTCCAGCAGCAGCATTGCCGTTGACCTCTACCTGCTGGAGAGAACAGAGTGAGGGCTGGGCTTAGGTGAGGTGAAGTCCAGCCTCAGGGAGCCACACCAAAGCGTTTTTCACAAAAGTCGCTGAGATCTTTAGGTGGAACAACTGGCCCTTCACAAAACAAACAAACAAACAAACAAACAAAAAGAGACACCTCATCATGCCTGCTTCACATTTCCACACTTTTGCCTGCACTGCACCTTCTGCCTGGAATGCCTTTGCCTCCACGGTCCACTTGGGAAACATCCATCCTTCAAACCAGCTCAGACGGCTCCTCCTCGGAGGGGCTTTCCCTGATGCCCCCTCCCATCATGTGGATGGATCCCTCCCACAGCCTCCAGAGCAGCGGGGAGCTGAGCCACCTCAACATCCCCCCTCTTTATCGCCCACTCCTACCCCAGGTTGGCTCCCTTGGGTCAGGAGCCATCTCAGGCAGGTCTTACCTGGGGGAAGATCTTGTTCATGTCTCCAGTTCCCAGCTCCCAGCCCTCAGTTCCAGTCTCTGGGCACGAGGGTGGGTGTGTAGACCTCAGCTCAGCTTCCCTGCCTAGTTGCCAGGGGCAACCTGGAGGAGGGTGCCCAGGAGACGCTGCCTGGCTACACCTTTCCAGTGGGCAGTCCCTCCCCAGGCTGCCTCCCCGGTGGAGGAAAGGGCGGGAGGTCGTGCTCCTGCTCAGCCTTTCCTCACTCACTCTGTGGTCTGATGGCAGTGTCCCAAGCTTGTTGGATCCTTGTCCCCATTTGAAAGACCAAGAGACTTGGGGACTCTTGTCCCCAAGAGACTGACGTACAGAGGGAAGCGGCCCTCATGTCACACAGTCTGGGGAGCTTTTCAGGATGTGCTTTTTCCTCCACATCAGTGATGAGACTGCAGGACCTCAGGCCCCCCTGGCTGCACGAAGATCCAGGCAGAAAAAGCCAGATTTAATGTTCTGGTGGCTGAAAAGCAGGGGTCATTTTCTCATCGATGTTCTGTTCAGTTAAATAGGTAATCTAGGTTGAAAGCATATGCATTCTCCACTAAAATTGCACAGCAAATATAATTTTAAATTATTTTCTCTTAAAAAGTGGCCATGTGCACTTAAGTTTTTCTGGTGACGGGGGAGGGGTGGGGACAGGTTGCCTACCTGACTAAGGCCTCCTGCCCACCCCGTGAGGTGTGAGCTCCCTGCAGCCTGATTCCCATGCCGATGACACCAAGGCCCTGGGAGCTTAAGGGACTGTCCTGAGAGCCCCAGACCAAGGGAGGAGAGGTGTCCGCCCCAGGTCTGTATGCGGCCTCTTTCTGATTCGCATGGGCTGTCTAGCCTGTGATAGGTCTTTTCTTTTTCACTGGGATATAAACTGCCCAGTCCCCAGGGGTGAGGTGGGACGGATAGGCACAGGGGCAGCAGCACTGGGAAGGGCTAAACCCTAGGTCGGACACGGGGTCCTCACGAGGGCCCTGCCACCGGCTCTGGCTGCTCTGAGCCACAGTTCCTTTGTCCAGAAAGTGGAAGAATTAGACTAGATGAAAGGGATAGCTTTGTTTGGGGATCCCCATAATGACGTCCCGAGACTAAGGTAGCTGGGGTATTTAGTTGCCAGCTCTTGCAAGTCATTGGCTGAGGACTGCCAGGGGGTGTCCATTCCTGGCACCACTGACCTGCCTTAGGCAAAGGGGTGCCAGCATTGGCGTTGCGAGCCAAGCTGACGATATGCCCTGAAATGGAAAGGGCTGGAGCAGAGCACCCATGGCATCCGCTAAAGATGCGAACTAGACTCCGTCTTGCATGCCAACTGCAATCGAGTGTAGAGGGTGTCTAGAACAGGGGGTTCAGAAGGATTCTGAGGTCAGCACTCAGAGTTTGAAGACTGACAAGAGATGTCTTGCCATGCGTGTAAGAGTCAACAGTGATAACATACATAATGACCATTTGCCATTTCTGGACCAACTCATGCTATTCAATCTCTGGATTTCCTTGACTTTGTGATTCTTAAGTGCTTTTTTATGGAAAGACTGTGTACGGATATGGAGATGTCCCTTCCTCTGGAACCCTGGTCCAGTCCAGGCACAGCCACATCTGACTGTGCTGGAAGCATTGCATCTCTACCTGGGCTCAGGATGTCACCAAGAACCTTTGTGTGAAGGGCAGCAGGGGGTCCTGGCGAGATGGAGGAGAGGCCTTGCTGCCTCCATCTCGGAACTTCCTGGAGCGACAGCCAGGTTATACCTTGGAGAAGGAAGCACTTGGGCTGCATTGTGTAACCTCCACCTTTGCCCTGCTGGGCTCCATTGCCCATGGCTGGGGTCTGCTTGATCCATGCCTGGGTAAACTAGCAAGAGCAGAGGTTTTGAAGCCGATAGTCCAAATGGTTCCACCACTAGCTGTGTGACCTCCGATAGAAAGTCACTTACATCTCTGAGCTTCAACTTCCTGACCTACCTCTTTAAACTCCTTTTCCACTCATTCCTGAAGACAGGTAGTGCTCCACACGGCAGCCAGCATTTAACATTGCACCCAGCCCACTCTTCCCACTTGCTCCAACCTCTCCCTTTTCTCCTTCCCTCCCCTAGAAGTTTCAAAATCTTAAGAAAAATACAGAAAAGTAGAAAGAATAATGTAACAAATAATTATGTAGCCACCATTCAGGGTTAACAAAGGTTAAAATTTAGTCACTTTTCCTTCAGATTTTTTTTCTATTAATTATAGCAAAATTGAAGGAGTATTTTCTTCCCCCCAATTGTATTCCTTTTGCTCCCTCCCCAAAGTCAACCAGTTTCCTATACGTGCCATGTGTGCTTTCGGAGGCCGGTGTCTGCGCACTGCTGCTCTGTAGACCTCCCCCCCCCCCCCTAGAATCACACCACAGGGGCACTCCAACTCCAACAGATATCACTGAACTACTCTCCCTGGTGACCGCACCAATTTGCACTCCCACTAGCAGTGTGTGAGTGTTTCTGTCTCCCCAGCATTGAAATTGTCAGACTCCCTCACATCTGCCAGTCTGGTAGGTGTGCAATGGCATCTCAGTAAAGCTAGTTTGCATTTCTCTAGTGATTCCTACTGCCACCACCAATTACTAACATTTATGGAGCACTTACCTTTGCCACATGCCATATTACATACTTTACATTATATTAACTAATTTAGTCCTCCCAGCCACAGAGCATGGGGACTATTTTCCTGATTGGTGTGGCTCAGTTAGTTGGGCATCGTCCTGCAAAATGAAAGGTTGCAGGTTTGATTCCCAGTCAGGGTACGTGCCAGGTTATGGGTTCGGTCCCCAGTCAGGGCATATAAGAGAGGCAACCAATTGATGTTTCTCAGAATGTTTCTCCCTCTCTTTCTCTCCTTTCCCCTCTAAAAATAAAATTAAAAAAGAAAAGATGGAGACTATTGTCATCTTCATTTTACAGATAAGGAAACTGAGGCACAGAGACATTAAATTACTTGCCCAAAGTTCACAGTTGAAAAGTGGCGGAGCCAGGAGACAGGCCTGGCTGGCTGAAAGGTTCACACTTTTACCTCTGCCCACCTGAAAGTCTCACTTGAAGCTTTCTTCGACTCTCCCTGCTCCCCTGGATTTACCTTTCCCTATATTTTGTACGATCTGGGATTCCATCTCAGCCTGGCTGTGGCTAGGAGAGGCCCTCTAGACATGAGATCAGCAAACCCTAGCTTGAATCAGACAGACCTGGGTTTTCATCCCAACTCTGCCAAGTTACTAATTTAAGGTGGCCAATCACAGCCTCTCTAAGCCTCAGTTTCCTCATCTGAAGAATGGGGAAAAGAATACTTACCTCAGAACAGCTGAGAGGATGAAGTGAGCGCACACATGTGAATGTTTTTTGCACCCTTTGAGGGTACAATATTGTTTCTGGATGTCTTGGTCTGTTTCTGGATGCAATTACAGAGAGATCTGCCTGAGGGCTGGGACGGCTTCTAACTCCAGGGCTGGAGAACGCTAAGTGGACACCACAATTAGATTGACACAGGGACTGGGAGATCTGCCTCCAGGCCTGGCTAGAGGTGAGGCACAGTCCTCTGCTTCAGTATTTATCACCCCTCCCTTATGCCTTCCACAACTCTGGGAGCCAAGGCTGGTCACCTCTGTTCTCAGACTGTTTCCTCAGCTCCAAAACGAGGAGGTTAAACCCCATCCTGCTCTCTCCTAGGTGGATGTTGCAAGGACCCACTTAAGGTGAAAGTGGGGGTACTACAAAGGGCTTTGCCAAAGTCACATGAATCAATAGACAAACTCCCCTGTGAAATATGTAAGTAGACACTTTTACAAGATAGCACTATAATATTGTTTAATGTAGATGATTTAAATTTTATTGAAGTTTACACACTTAAACATTAAGAAATTAACAGAGGTGGGGCTCCAACGACTGACTGCATGATGGTCTATCTTGAGGTAACATTATCAAGAGTTTTTGTTGAAGCCTCTCATTTCTAATCAGTTGCTGCTTTCTTTCCATCCAAGCCTTGAATTATTGCTGTTCTAACGTTGCAAAACAATTCAAGTATACAAAGCACACAAGAGGTAGTAATAGAAGCCCAAATAACTTAGAATTTAATAAACAAAATATTTTACTCTTAAAAATGACAATGTAAATTCAGGCAACCTTTAAACTAGGGGTTCAGTGAACTTGTTTCACTAATTTCTAACTGAAATATAGCATTTCCTTCAGATATGAACACCAGCAACAATTGATAGTAGTATTAGCAGTACCTGTGACTTTATCACCAATAGAAATCACATTTAGATATCAAATCATGGCTGTTGTATATGTTTCAAAATAATCATTTGAAATTAGAGTTGTTTTTAGCATCAGCGCTAGACCTTATTGTTTTACATATTAATAAAGAAGCCCATATCACAAAATTTTGAAAATATCTTAATAACTGTATTTTAGTATAATTAGTTTCCTTTGCAATCCTTCATTTAGTTTGTGCATTTGAGAACAGTATTCTGAGAAGTGAGTCCATAGGCTTTGCCAAATCACCAAAAAGGTCATGGCATAAAAAGGTTGAGACTACCTGATCTAAACAAGGAATTCATTAACATCACACGAAGAAAGTACTTAGTAAAATGCATGAAGCCAAGTTCAGCAATTATAATTTCAGAAAAGGTATATAAACTGTGCTTCAGAGTTTAATTAATGCAAGAAGTTGGAAAATCCACACTAATTTTACACCTACCTTCCCACAAGACTGCATTTCCCACTATCTCACTCTTTTATCTCTATCATTGCACATTACTTCCCCCAGACTCTAGTCTAGAAAGACAGGCAAGTAAGGTAACTTATCCTGATGCTACTCAAATGCAAGCAATGACATGTTTAGCAACAGAAAACCTCATGGGAGGGGCTCAGAGCACGCTGAGTTAGGAGAAGCTGGGTTGGCAAACCTAGAATTTGAGGACAGTGGTTAAGTTGACCTAGCACTGCAATTTAAGAATTTAGCCTGACGTGGAACAGCTTTCCCAGTCTGCTTGACAAAACTCAGACTGTGACCAGGTCCCAGAAACCAGTCCTAGGCTTACCATTCAAACAAAATGTGGAGAAACAGAGAGCCTTATAGATAAGAGCTCAAAAATATATTGGGTTGGTCAGAAAGCCCATTTAGTTTTCTCTGTAAAAGACATTTTTCATTTTTACCAATAACTTTATTGATTTGAATATTTTGAGTATGTCAGTTATCTCCTGTGAGATTGTTCTCAATTAATGTCTCAGTTTGATCACTACCAACTTCAAAGGGCCTACCTGACCACGGAGCATTGTCCAAGAAATCTCTAGCATGAAACTTCATAAACCACCTTTGACATGTTCAATCAGTCATAGCACCTTCTCCATACACTGCACAAATTTTTTTTTTTTTTTTTTTTTTTGCATTTCAGTTGTGTTTTTACTTTTCTTGAACTAATAGAGCATAATATGCTGGAAATGTTGCATATTTTCTTCCATCTTCAGTATTAAAATGGCTACACAAAACTACCAATTTTAATGTTTTTAAAAAATGCATACTGCTATGACAGCTGTCACAACACAGTCTAACAAAATTGTTTCGAATGAAGTTGAAGACAACGAGGTGCTACTAGAGCCATCTTTATGGAAAAAACCAAATGAACTTTTTGGCCAACCCAGTAACATGAAGTAAAATGAAAGGAAGTGAATTTATTTAAACCCTATTTTAAAAAATAAAAGCACTGGGAAGGGAATGTAAATTCCTATTTCAATGTGGCTGGGTAAATATGTAACTTAATAGATGCTACAGGCTACTGCTATATTGATGGCCCCTCGACTTGCCCCTCTGGTCTATCCACACTGTTGTTGAGAGTCATCCTAAAACACTGTAACTGTCTTGCTGAAGACTGACCCCTCTAAGGCTTCCCACCGTGCTCAGGATCAAGTTCAACATTAATAAGGTCCCTTCGTATCTGGTCCACCAAGACCCATCTATTGCTATGCTTTTGTAGGCTCTATCTCAGCTGCTGAACAATTTGCAGTTCCATACCCTCTTACCTCTATGTCTTCAAGCATACTGTTCCCACTACCTGGAATCCTGTTTGGCTTCCCCTTTTCCTCCATGTTTACACTTAATGTCACTTTCTTCTGGAAGTTAGGGCCATCTTATGTATCCTCAGAGTACTCTATGTCACAGCAATTATCGGATTAATAATAGTCTGTCGCCTTTAGACATTGAGCAATGGATCATGCACTGGGTCTTGCTTGTTGCTGCAGACCTGTCACCCAGCGCAGGGCCTGGCACTCACACTCTCAAGTACTTGTTGAGTGGTTAAATTGTGGGTTATAGGGTATGAGGGAAAAATCACTGCCAGGGTATGGTGGGGACACAGCCAAAAATGTTTTTACAATTGCTCCAAAGGCAAGGGGGTCTGGTTAATTTTAACAGAAAAGGTCTAGAAACCTCTAGATGATTCCCAAGCATGTGGTTCGTGAGAGCCCACAAAAATTGTAATGGAGTAATTTTATATATTTCAAAAATTACAATGGAAATGGCACATTTGCCTAAGACAGGACAAATAACAAGGAGTAAAGTTGTTTGCTTTTGACTGTAATGTCAACTCAGTAAACGTATGTTTCACATGCTGATTGATTGGCAGTTGATCAGCTTATGATGCATCAGAGAAACTTCTGAGACAAGAGTGATAAACTAGATGATCTGGCAATTTTTGATTTACCAAAAAATATATCATAAATAATAGGTATGCAAGGAGTTTTGTGAATACTGGGAATCTTGGGCCTGTATCATTCATTACCGTGGCTGCTATCTATGTAATTGCCTAAATTAGTATGTTTTACACTAGGGGCCTGAACCAAGCACCTTATGTGTCTGGGAGATTTGAAATACAGACTCAAGTGTCTTGAGATTTTGCCTAGGACGAAGACAAACTTCTCCAGATGCTTTTAATGTGGTATGAGGGATGATACCTGTCTCATGGAAACAAGTGAAGTGGGGCCCATTAAAGTAGGGCTGAACTGTTACTTAGGAGAAGGGGCCTCTCAGTTCTGTTGCCTTTGTTAGAATTTTCAAGCCAAGCATTTTTTACAATGTATATACTCTTTTTTTAAAGTAAAATTCTTTTTGAAAATGTCAGTTTGGTTTGATCATGCTAAAATAAAAAGAGGACAGGACACAAATATTTGAGTGTCTACTAAACACCAGGAATGACTGGGTTCTTTTCACATACAGGAATTATCTCATAAACATAAAGGGAAAGTCTGTGTACACTTGGATCAGTATTTTCAAGACAAATGAGGGTATCTCAGGGTAACCTTATTCAGGAAGCAAAGAAAAACAAAACCAAGGGCAGGTTACTAGAATACAGTACAATTATACAGTTGCTCCTTATCTAGATACTCCTTTTATTGTTTTATGAGGAATGGCTTTCCCAACAATGGGTTGACTCCTATAAATTTGCAGCATTTTATATATTTCCAAACTCAGTTTGCTTCATTGGATGTATTTTCCGTTAAACCTGTATCTGATACTAAGTATGTACCATGGGTGGGAAATAAGACAACCAGGTTTTTTAAAAGGTGTACTCGAATCCAATCTCTATGTTCTGTAACTGTTTTCTCATGAAAAATGAGACCATGACTGCTTGACGACTCCTTAGTAATTACTCCTCTCTTCCACATCTGGATGTGGTCACATTACCTTCTAACCCTCTATCTTCCAAATCTAGACAACCTATTTTAAAACCAAAACTTGTATTTGGTGACCAAGGTCTTACTTGATTAGTTTTTAATTGTATGCCTTCTTTTGACTCAGAGAAAGCTGATGACTAGGCTATAAGATGGGTGACTCACTCTAGTCAAAAAGCACTACAATTCAGTTGCCAGCGATGCCCCATGTATACGGAAAGTATTGGTTCGCAAAGTTTTGTAACATTTCATGGTAAAAAAGCACTGAATCATGTTAAGATTCTAGTATACTATGTTACCTGATATAATTCTTATTTTTAAATCTGTATTATAGGAAAAGGAATGATAATAACAATAGCTTTTGCCAAGTGAAATCTATAATTTTGTACCACAAGAGTCTAGTTCTTAGTTTCAAAATGAAGTTTTCTCAGAAAATATCTTTAAACTTATACTTGATATGTTAACAGAGAAAACTAGCTCTTTGGAAAGACACATTCAACATAAATCTATAGTCTGTGCAAATAACATAAAATGTACTTCTGACCTCATCATTTTTGCTTCACTTTGTTTCCTAACGATATTATATAGCAATAGGTAGAAACAGAACATTTCAAATTTTTGTTCAGGTTGGGTAGGGGTGAGAGGAAAGATCTGGAAAATCAAGAGTATATTAACTCCAATTTCAGCACATAATTATTCAAATAAAATTTTAATGATTTCAGTTCAATACAACTGAAAATGTAGTGTAGGGCATTCCCTGCTAAATTTCAAATTACAGGTTGTGGGCCATTTCTGAGCAGAAGCATCATATCCTACCGAGTATTCAGCTTTCGAACTAAAGTGATTGATGGTATCATGGTGAGAGGTGGGGAAAACAATGATCAGCTCACAGAGTTAGGCTAAAAAAACCAAAAACAATGCAAATAATAAAGCAGCTACAGATATTAAAATAAAAATTCAATCCCAAATATCCATCTCTTAAATTACTAGAAAAAAATTACAGGTAAAGTTACAGCAAATATATAGCCTTCTCAGATTTGGGTAACTTTATTTTCATTTTATAGTGATTTTTAAGCCCTATATCCAATGAGACCAATTTAAAAAACCCTACGAGAAATTGAACTTTAGATATCTATTACACTTTTCTTGGAAAAAGAAAAAAAGCTTAGATTTCTGAATGAGCAAGGTTCACTTTTGTAGGTAGAGGCCCTGCTTCTTCATGGTCTTCAGCTTGTGATCTAACAACCACAAGAGAAGAAGCTGGGTATCTGTTTAGCTTTTGTTCGTTCACAAATTCCAAGTCACCATAGATGCTCAGCTTCTGCAAAAGAAAACCAATGCATGTTAGAATTTGGATAATTTAAAATATCATTAAATAAGTCTCCAAATAATAATTTAATCTATAGGTATTTTGTTAAAAAAAAATTCTATAAACATTCTCAAGAATAAAGAATGTTTTTAATCTAAGTGTTACAGATAGGTGATTAGCTGCCAGTGCTGGCCAAAGAAAGCTTTCCCACATGTTCCAACTTAACATATTTAGAAGCATAACAAGAAGGTATCAAGAAAAATTGCTCAGGTTTAAACGGAGTTATTGTGGTCATATAAGAGCACTGATTTGGGGTGTTTGATTCTTTAAATGACTAATTCCTTTTTAAGATCTTAGCTCACCAACCAAGTTATCAAATGATTTGGAGTAAGTTTCTCTGCTACTAAATGTTTTAACTTAATGCATTTGAAAAATATGTGCTATTTTAAAAGGCTCTAAGAACTAAAGATTTACATGAAATATTTTAACACTGAAAGGTCTTCATAAACATAAAAACTCCTTAAATTATTACTATCATATCCAAGAAGATAGTAAAACAAGAAAATGAAAGCATAAAATAGTCACTGCAAATGTCATAAAACTCACTGGAGTATAATGGTAATGTCTAATATCTTTTGGAAGTAGGTCTATTGAGATGTAGGATTATCTCCTAAAGGCAGAAAAGCAAAGTGAAAAGTATTTGCTAAGAAATGAAATAGAGTGGGTGGGTGGAGCAGGGGAAGAGTCGTGGGTGGAAAATCGAGACATCTGTACTTGAACAACAATAAAAGTAGTAAATAAAAAAGAAATGGAATAGATTTTGTTGTTAATTCCTACAGCAATACATCTCTGAATCATGAGTTAAAAACTGAAGTGCTGACCTTATTGAAAAGGCAAGTGACAAATACAGAGCAAGAACTACATAGAAGTACTTAATGGTGGAAAGGTGCATTTGAAAGATGTTGAATAAAGAGCACTTTCAAGATTTTAAGTACCTATCAATATTGATACAGGCCACAACATGAATGAACCTTGAAAATATCATTTAAGAGGCCATGGCCATGACTGACGGTGGTGGTTGTGGTCCTTGGGAGGAAATGGGGAGTGACTACTAATGAATATTAATTTTCTTTTTGGGGTGATAGAAACATTTGAAAAGTAACTACAGTGATGGCTGCTTGTTTTATATTTCAGATATGCTTTGCTGTCTACTGTTTCAAGGCAACAACTATATTGCAACAAGGACATGGCCCCGTACCCTATACTTTTCCAGTAAGAGTATCTTCCAGACATATTCAGTGGTTGATGGACTGAACATGGATCTGACATGGTACAGCCTCCTTAAAACTCAGGATCAACATGTGGTAACTGGCTCTGGGGCATTGTAAAAGGAAACTTTCACAACACTATTTAGCACCATTTAAAGACCCTGATGCCCTGGTTGGTCTGGCTCAGTGGAATGAACACTGGCCTGCAGACTGAAAGGTCACTGGTTAGGTTCCCAGTCAGGGTACCTGCTTGGGTTGTGTGCCAGGTACCCAGCTAGGGGCATGTGAGATGCAACCAACTGATGTATCTCTCACGCGTTCATGTTTCTCTCCCTCTCAATCTCCGTCCCTTCCTGTCTCTCTAAAAATAAATAAAATCTTTAAAGACCTTGAAAACAGCAACCAAGAACTGTTAGAATGATTTCAAACATCAACATGGAAGAAAGTGAAGAGATGGTGGTGAGGTGGGAGATGGTGTAAGGGAACTAATTAATTCCTCATCCTTCAGTAGGAAGACATTAGATAATGTCTAAAGCTGATGAAACAAAAAAAAGAAGATGAAAATTTAAAAAACTATTGGCTGTGGTTTATCTGGAAGTAAGGAAGAGGAAGATTTAATTTATGTTACACATATAGCGTCTAAAAGTTAAAAAATAAATTTAATTAGTAAACATATTTGAGCTTTAGGCCTAGCTCTGCCACTAACCAGTTATATAATCTTGAATAAGTTACTTAAATCTTTTCTAAACCAGTTTCTTAACAGAATTTGAATTAAAAAACTGTAGCACTTATATTGTTTTCTGACTGACTCTATTATGAGACTTAAAGGCTCTAAATGGTAAGATTCTTGGACTTTTCATTTTTTAGATTTAAAAAAATAGAGTTTATTATAGTTTAAGATATGTTTCACGCTACTTCCTGGGTCTTGGAAGCCTTAAATTTTGTTCCATTTGATCTTATTCTTCATTGTATCTTTAATCTCTTGAACAGGCCCTGGCACATAACAAGTTATCCATAACTGTATGTGATTTACTAGCACTAATGTTATAAATTTTCTAAAGCTCTTCTTAACTGAATACATGAAATCAGATGATCATGATCTTGACAAATAAGGAAAAAGGAAGCATATATCTAGAGATGACAATGAGGCAGGCATGTATATCAACATCTGTCGACTACAAATTTCTGAGGCTGCCTGATTTTTTAGGAAGGAATATACAATATTGTTAAACGCTGTTTTTATATGTCAAGTTTGGCCTGCCCGACAAGGAGCACTATGAATGACAACTCTTTATCTTAATTCTTTAAGTGTCATCCCATTAAGTTTCAAAACTGACATGATAAATGTGAAAGAAGAGAGGGGAAAAAAGTGGAAAAAAGAGGATCAAAATCTTTATTCATCAAGTCACTGAAAATGACCCTACTTTTAAGATCAACCAAGAAAATGAAATTCTTTGCCAACTCTTTCTGGCCATTACAATCAAATGATATATAATGAGTACCTAACTATGTGCAAAGCAAGCTAAAAATAAGTTATTTCAGAGTTTTCCTAAATTAGGAAAAATAAAGCTGTTTGTAAGTTCCTAAGACCATGTTCCAGACATTTATTACCACTATTTTAAGCTTTGTTTGTAATGACTGAAAAAAGGAAGCACTTTACATTTCATGTTTAAGCTCCAAGATACCATGTCTATAAAGAGACATACATTCTCTCAGCAGGCTTATCATTTCCCCCAGACACAAAGGATCATATATGTAAAGAACACAATATAAATAACACTGCTCACAGATGAACTATACATATTTGTATAATTAAAATGGAGTCTCATGTTACTATGGAGAGGGATCAGAAATAACTTACATTCCAATAATAAAATCAATGAAAAGACTTTATGAAAATGAAGTTTAAAATAGGTGGCTTTTGGCCAAGAAAATCTGAAAACCTTCTAATAACAAAGAAAACACCAGGGAAGGAGTACTTACAGTGCAATATTTTTAAACAAGAAAAAAAAAACCTTAATATGTATTAAAAATTGTTTATAAAGAAATCCACTCAAATGGCAACACAAAAATTGTTCTGGATGATGTGATGAGTAATTTTTATGCTTCTTTCTATGTACTTTACAAATTTCTACAGTAAGAATAAAGTACTATATAATAAATACTATATAATAAAAAAATATCCTTGAAACAACATTAATACCTAGCCAAATTGTGGTTTCACATACAAAAGTCTAAAACAGTAATTCCAAATGGCTGCTTTCCATACCTTTTTCTAGAAAATGTATCTTTTAGAAAAGTCTAATCTCTTTGAGGTTATAGCCATAATTTTAATTGTTAAGGATAAGAAGAGAGAATTCTGGGGAAAGGCAAGGACGTAACATCCATTAGGTAGGTATCTATAGGAAATGTGACTGGCACTAACAGGACTCCACATGGGTGTTGATGCCTTAGGCTTTAGGATCACAGGGATTTGCATGGGCAAGTAAGTGTTCCCCAAAGAATCTGAAAATGAGGGGAGAGAATTTCTCACAGAATGAAAACTATACAATCAAAACAAAACTTATCAAAGCAGAGACATCTAATAAGAAAAGAAAGATCAAGAATTATCTGAAAGGGAAGGAAAGATCCCCAAATCTGTAAGATGTAATCAAAACCATAATGAAAGGCATTACTATGTCTAAACAGCACCAGAAGAGGAAGTCAAGTAAGGAGATAAGAATGGAAAACCTATGAAATGCCCATCTAAGACCTATTTGGATAAGGGAGAGATGGACCAGCCTGGCTCAAAAACATGAACCATGTGGTCCCAGTAGTATTCATCTTCCTAGTGTCAGCGGGCACACAGGAGATCGGCTCCTGAAATGAATCACATAATCCACTCCCCTATTTATGATGCCCAGGTAGCTAAAGAAGCTTGAGGGTACTGGCTTTGGAGTTAGGCTACCTGGAACCACATTCTGGTTCTGCCACCTTCTGGCATGTGACACTGGGGCAAGTATAAACTCTCTCTTGCAGTTTTCCTGTCTGGAAAATGGGAGTAATAATATCAGCCACCTCAAAGAATTAGTGAAAAGACTAATGAGCTAATTAAGGTAAAACAGTGCCTAGTACAAAGTGCTAAAATTAGTCTGTAGACCTAAGGACCAGAATCCAGGTTGTGGTGAATTTATCCATGTAAATTTCATCTGAGGCCAGCCATCCTCAGTCTTTCCTGGCAATAACCAGACCAAGCTCTATGTGTATCTTTTTCTTTTCTTTTCTTTTTTTTTTAAACAAGGGCATCCTAGGGGTAAGGAGAGGAAGTTGGGCTAATGATATACAAAGGAAAGAATAAAGTGCCACATGGTAAAAGCTCAACAAAGATTTATTAGTATAGGTCTGTAGCGTTGTTGCCATAGGATTTAGCATGGGGTAACTTCAAAGGAAGTTAATAGGCTAAAGCAATCCTATATAAGATGGGTAATTTCATTTTCCTAAAAACAATAAAATGACTAAAATATGGACATCAGAACTAAAAACAACAAAGGTAAGTAATGTAGCAAGAGGATGTCATCAGTACATTTATATCACAAGTAGACGAGTGGTAATAGAAATTTATGCAATCTCTGATATTTCAATTCCTGATCCTGCCCGACATTATCTATTTGGTTTAGTTTCCTAATTTAAGTTCTTTCAGTCAAGTCAGGTCCTTACAGTACTTCCCTGATAATTAGCTATTCTTGTCTGAACTTGGGAAAATTGTCCCCCTTCCTCTTTTAATCCACACCTACCCATTTTTCCAAGTTCAGGTCAAGATCCACATTATCTAAAAGCATTACCTCACAATCCCAACACATGGTGTCTGCTTTCCTTAACACTATACATTTATTATTTGTGCCACTTAAAATCCTTATCAGCCATAGGAAAAATAGTATACTGGAAAAAAAACAGGCATTGTGAATCCAAAGACAAGAACTAATATCAGCCTCACTGTTTTCATTGCTGTGCAATCCCACGAAGGTTAACTAGACTTTGTAAACCTGCCATTTAATCATCTGTTAAATGAGTAATAACACCTGCTGTAGAGTACTGCCAGACATGTAAGATATATGAAAATACTCTGCAAGTTTTAAAGGACTATATAAATGTTAGTTATCAGTATTATCCTGTCCCAGTTTCTAGTTGCCTGTATCACATATCATTTTAAAAAAGAAAATAATTACCCTAATTATTCATGTGTAAATCTTATATTAAAACACATCTTTATAGTCTATTTAGATAAAACTGTTCAAGCACCATGCTAGGCACACGCCAACTACTTATTACTAGATTCCATTTAATTTCTCTCTTTTCTGCTTTTCACTCTTTTTCTACGGTAATTCCGAGGCGTAAGAGAACTAAAATCTACTTCATTTGGAGCTGAGGTCAACAGATATTATCATCCCCTGTTTAGTTACATAAATCACTTTCTTTCCTTGAAAGCTAAATTGAATTATGAAATTACAGACTTTTCCCAAAACAAAACTCCTTGACCTTACAAGTTATGTTTCTTGGGTGAGTTGAATTTTAATTATCAGGGAAGTCATGATAGTTTCCCATCCTCTCTTAGGGTTAGATACCAGAACAAATGAACTCCAAATCACATACTTTAGCCTTGCTGCTTCTAAAGCAGCAATTACTTTTTAAAATTTGTGACAATTAAAAACTTTACGGGGTCCTCAAGTCTTCTTTCTTAAGTATCACTTCAGAAACTGATGACAGTAGGTTCTTCTCAGTTTCAAAGAACTAGGAGAAACACTTTACTCAAACCAGCCAACATATATGTAACTACGGTAGCTGTCCTACAGAAAACTAGAACTGTGATTCTTGTGTTGCAAACCTGTAATTTTTCATTTGTGCCAACACCCAGGTGTATGATTAAAACCACCAAATCTTCTCTCACTCTGTTAGTAAAGAGGCCTTGTTTTTCTAGTTAAACAAACAGGCATTTAAAATGACTGAGCATATGGCTCAGTCTTCAAACGACATCTTAGAACTAAATTTACCTCAGAGGGAACATACTGCTCCACAGCGGTAGCAACAGTTGCACAGCAAATCCAGAGCAACACCATCACCGAGAGGACAAGAGTTGTGGTTAAAATCCACCCAGAGTTACTGAAAAAAGTAAAATCAGTCATGCTAAAATTTCATGATATAAGAAGTAGGGGATTCTTAATAATTAAAGGCAATCAACAATATGTGCTTAATTTAATAATACTACCTTTATAACTACTACATTTTGCCGTGTATAATGCACACTTTTTTGCCCAAATTTCTGAGGGGAAAAAAAGGATCCACATCATACATGGGTATAATGACTACATGCCGTAGGTACAGTGATCGACATAATAATCCTGTGTATAATATACACAAAAATATGGGCGTGCATCATACATGGGAGCACATTATACCATGGCAAAATATGGTAATTTTAAAAACATATTTATAGAAGGAACTATTATATATAACAAGTATATTAGGGTGGTTTGAAGTCCTTCCCTCTTGAGTCCTTGAGAAATTCTGAAGTTTCTTTAACATGACTATATTGCTTTTGTAATTTAAAAATCTTACATACTGGCTTCTTGTTAAATGTATATAATTAAAGCAAGTAACTGTCAAGGGTACTCTTAAATTACTAAACCTGAGATAAGGCAAAGGAAAGTGTCCTATGAATTATATACTGCTATGAAAATATCATATATATCATTTTGCAAAGTATTACAATACTTGCTTTAAGAAAACCCAATGCCACAGAGTTAAGGTATAAAATAGGTACATTATAAAATTATCATTCATTTTACAAAGGGATTCACCACACAATTCCAGAAGTTAGCTTCTCTAGAACATTTTGAATATTTAATCTGCCACAATTTATTTACTTGTTCAATTTCCAAGAGTGCATCTATTATTGGGCATTCTATATCCATTACATCATATCTTAGTAAAGATATAGTTACATGTTTCTTATGATTAAAACATCTTAATGTAGAAAGCCAATTATAGGAATCAGCAATCCAAGATTTTTCTATAATTGATATATTGTTCGGCAAACTATAGAGTCAGATTCCAAGAACAGGAATAAGTCTGTGTTCCTCCAACACTGCCTAATAAAAGATTGAAGTTACCACCATAACCCATTCACTTGATGGTCTACTAATACTTGAACGTGCTAAGGAGAAAGCATGCAGTCACTGTTTGTCTTTTAGCAAAAGAGGCAGACTTTAGAAAATGCATTGTATCTAAAAGCAGGGAATTCCTATATGATGCTTGACGTATTCCAATTTAGAAAGATAATACAGTAAAAAATGTTTAATGGAAAAAAACCCCCACCTAATTTACATATTTAAGCCCTAACCTGGCTAATAAGGAATTCCCTTCCATGAAATAAGGAGGATATATTTAACACCTGGATCCCAGTCACAACTAGTTAAGCCAGATAAGGAGGGCTCATTTTACAGTCAATCCACTTCTCCAACCTCTGCAACAAAACAATCATACAAGATTCTCAACTATCTCCATCATTTCCTATACTCCTTTTCTACTGCTCTAGTTCAGACCTCTTAATTTCTCACCTTACACAAGTGGTCCAAAGTGACCCTCTATTCTTCACAGAGGCCTCTTTCTGATATTAAAAATGATTACTTTCTTGCTCCTCTCTAGCTCCTGTCTATCAAGTTTGGTCAAATCTCTTAAACAAACGTGCTACCACTAGCAAAAATCTCTACCCATCATGTAAGACATTTCTATTCCCTCTGTAAATTCTCCCACTGAAATGTCTGGTAGACTTAAATACTCTTTGTACTCTATATATGAGAGGTATGTGTGTATGTATAATATGTGGCAATATTACTGTGTTGTTCACTATTTGCATGTCTGTTTCTACCATACTAGACCTGAGAATTCCATAGAGGCAGAGACTGAACAGGTTTCAAGTCTCTAATGCAGTGCCTGGCATATAACAGACTCTCCAAAAAGAAACAGCAAGTGAAAAAACGAGTGTGAGCTTAATTTCCACTCTGGAGGTCAAGTGTAACTTCAAAACAACTATGATATAATAAAAACAAGTACTGTATAAGAATCAGAAGACCAGATTCCACTGCCTAGTTTGGTGATCTTGTATGAAATCATGGAAAATCATGACCCTTTACAAACAGAAAGCTATGACAGAATAGGATGATTAGAAGATGTAGAATTAGAAAACCTAGGTAACACAGTAGATATATAACCTTGGGGATAGTTGATTCACCTCCCTGATACACCTACTTATCACAAGGTACACTGTTCTAAGAGTCAAATGAGAACATTGAGGGGAAAAACATTTTATAAACAATCTTTTTATTAAAATGTAAGATATTTTTAAAGTAGTTCATGTTTGTCCACAGAAGCTTCATAAAATTAAGTCTCTAGTTATAGTTAGTTGCTTCCTAAGTTAAACATTTACAAAATTACTTTTTAAATGCTAGATTTAAAAGAACAATATAAAATATAATGATAAAATGGTAAAGAGCAATAACACAAATAAGATGCCAGGTTAAGTATTGAGAATAAATTGTAACTTAAAATTAGGTGATTACTTAGCTTTCACAAAACTATCAAATTGCAACAAAATTCTAAACATTGGAGAGGGGGAAATTGCCCATTTTTTTTGCACAAAGTCAAAAGCACGTTTAGAAAGGGAAGAACGGGAAAATTTAAAGGTAAATCCTTTTTCACACCCAGTCTTTAAAGACTGTGTTTGGTAAAAGGCATTACTTTCTAGATTCCAATATGACTTTACTGATATCTGATAAAACCTGTCAAGAAACTATTTCTAGCACAAGAACATACAGAAAGCATGCAGTTTGTACTACTGCTGTGTGAGACTGTGAGGGCAAACACTTGTATGTATTCTACTCAAGTGTTTGAGCTGGTATCTGACAGTAAATAGTTACCAGTAAGTGTTAAGACCCACTTTCTTTCTCTTTTTCTTTTTTTGGGGAGCAGGGGATGTTGAGGGAGGTAGGGGGAGCTCATATCGTAACTCCTTGGAAGAATGGAAGCACACATGCTTTGATAAAAACCTCTTCACTCTCAAAGGGCTTGATATTCCTTCCTAGGAGGGCATAAGGAACCCATCACCCCTGCCTGCCCTAATGATCCTTGGCATAGAGTTGATACTCCTTAGTACAGAACATAAAGCCCCCCTTAATCTATTGCCCTTATCTACTTCCCCTAGCCTCAAGTGTGGCCATGCAGCTGGAAACAAAAATCTGATCCCCAAACCATTCACATGTATTTTACTTAAATGGTGGGAAAAGCATATTTCTTAATGTAAATCAAAGAATCCTAACAAGATAGCTTTTGTACTGTGAAAAAAACTATGTATTTGGGTTTTATTGCATATTACCTTTTAAACAAACTAAAACATCCAAAGTACAAGTTTGGTAGGGAAAAGATAAAAGTTTTTTTCTTTTGAGCAGCTAATAAAATTTTAAAATAATAAAAAGGAATGTATCTTTCTGGTATAAGTTAGATTTTATCTCCTACACCCATTAATAAAGAGGAATACATACAGAGAGAGGCATCTTAAAAAGCCATCACTTTCTCCATCTTCAAGATAGTTCCTGTGAGCTTGTGAACTTCTCATTTGTAGATCTGCTGAAATAACAAAGTATATGTTTATGATATTCTATACTCTAAAAGATAGTTTCAAATGACTACTTCTAGATCTATACACTTTACAGATATCCAGTTGTTTTTTAAGTGTAATCTAATACATTTAATAATGAATGCAAGATCCTGTGGCACATCAAAAACCAACTGGATATTCTACACTAAGGATTTCCTATTTTATTTCCAAATCCTCATTGATATTAAAGCTTTCAGTTTAATTATAAGTGGGCGTAAATAATAGAATTTGGTTTATTCTAATGTTAAGTTAAAGATGGCCTTCATTATCCACCCAGCAAAAATAATTAGAAAGTTAATTAAATCAGTACCTAAAATAAGGCATGAGCTAGAAGTAAGCCAGCTTTAGCTTGATGTTTTATATTTCTATGAGTTAACATTCACTTTTTGTAAGGAAATAAAAATAGAACAGGAACTCACACTTTCAGGGTAGTTTCACTATTTAGTTACTTGATTGGGATGTATAAGATTATTTCATTAGTTTATACTTCCAACATAGTTCACAGCAAACTATATGGTTTCAGAATAGTGGTTCTCAAGTGTGGTCCACAGACTAGCAGTATCAACAAAATCTGTGAGCTTGTTAGAAATGCCAATTCTCAGGTCCCATCCCAGATCTAGTAAATTGGAAACTTTGGGAGTGGGGCGCAGAAATTTTTTTACCAAGCAGTCTAGATTCTAATGCACATTAAAGTTTGAGAATCACTATTTTAGAAATTATTTGTTCATCTTCCGTTAGTGTAAAAACAATCACACAACCAATTCTATCACAATCAGATTTGACTGCTATTTTTTTTTTAATTTTTATGATTTTATCTATTTTTAGAGAGAGAGGAAGGGAGGCGAAAAGGGAGGGAGAGAAACATGTACCCTGACCAGGAATCAAATTGGCGACCTATTAGTTTGCAGGCCAGTGCTCAATCCACTGAGCTGCTCCAGCCAGGACTGACTGCTAATGTTTTTATCCTAAGCTGATTAAAATAAAACTTACAGGACATTCTGCTTAGCGATGATGATTTCAAATTTCTAGGCTCCTGCTCCAACTGTGGTGAATACTGGATTTCTGGCTTAGACTAAAATGATAATGAAAGCAATTAAGCCATTTGTACTTCTTAAGCCTTTCTCAGTAGCAAGTTCTATAATACATCATCTCTATTAACATTCAGACTGAGAAAAAGTAACAGAAGTATGGTATAAAAAATAAAACACATTAACCACAATATATTTAATTGCACTTCCTAAATATCAGATCCAGTGCCTTGCAAAGAAACAGACAGATTTCTGGCATCATCAAGTATTTAGTTTAACTTCCTGACAAAATTTTTAAAAAACAGAAAAAAGGACAAATTATAACATACTGCATTAAATATCATACTCTGCAAAAATGAGTTCTAATTCTAGTTGAGCAGGAATAATTTAGAAGACTGCCAACATTTTTGGCTAAACATTTATTATCTTTATTTTTTTCTCAATTGAAACATTCCATTCTTCCTTAAGTATGAGTAAATCACACATTGCAGCTAAATATTCCACACTTTACCGATATCACTGATCCTCTGAAGGCGGGGTTTCTCCATCCTAGTTACACTCCAGTTAATCTCACATCTAATCAGGAATAAATGAGGGCTCCACTCTAAGAGTCAACTTATGCTTTAAGTAGCTTTAGAACATAAAACTTATTTGTGAATTGAAGGAGATTCCTTCTGTGTTTTACTTATTAGAGGCCCAAGGCTCAGGATAGTGCTAAAAATGACACACTAGCCTTATAACGAGATACTCACTTAGTAATAAGAAGTAAAGATTCACTTCAACTATTACCTGAGCGAAAGTACCACAACATAATTTGTGGACAGGTAAATTTAAGGAATTTAACTATGGAATTAAAAGGAAAATAGGAGGGTAAGGTGGTATATGGGCCTTGAAGCTAAAGGACCTGAGTTTGAAGTCTAGTTTTGTTATTCATGGGCAGGGTGACCTTAAATAAGATACAGACCCTCAATTTCTTCATCAATAAAATAGAGATAATACAACTTTATGAAGTTGTTTGAAGATCTGAGATGAAATATGTAAATCCCTAGTATATAAGAAGCTTAAAAAAAAAGGCTATCACTATCACATCTCATGGTAAGTAATGAGGTAGGAAAAGTAACCTCTCTAGGAGGCAACGTACTTCTTTGACAAGCTCTCTTACAAGAGTTATGAGGGAAAGCACTAAAAACAACCAAAAATTACATCATATTGCTTTTCTCTAATATCTACATATAACATACATACATGCCACTATTTATATTCAAAGTATACTAATTATTCTTATCTCTCATATCTAGAGGTTTCATTTTATCAATTTAACCACTATAAAATTTAGAAGACAGTTCTTATTAGATAAGGGCTGATGGGCTTTAGATAAGCTTCCCTTGGGCAGAGGGAAGGGTAAGTCACACTGTGTCATGATGCCCAATGTTTTCATTAGGCCAAATAAACATTACTTAATGAAAAATATTTGTAAGTGACTGAATACATGGCTCTATGCCAAGACATTCATTTAAGACACATCTGTTTACTGTTGTTAGTATTTAGATGAATATATGAAGCACAGGTGTCACCTGGAATATAACTATTTTTCCGTCATCAGCTTGCAGATAAAAAGTCCATGAAGAGGTTATGAAGCTCTGTGCAGAGTCCATCATGTCACTCCAGAATGACCTTACCAGAGTGAGAGGGAAGAGTAGATGCATTTTTGGCATCAGGGACATGAGCTTTAAAAAGAAAAAAAAAATTAAATCATTTGATGTATATAATTATTATTTATATATGCATATTCAAGATAGCAACATAATCAAGATTCTCCAAATCCTCATTAAGGATAGGGCATAAAGAATTAAGTGAATCTTCTGGCCAAGATGGAGGCATAGGTAGATATGCTTTGCTTCCTCGCACAACCAAAAGGAGGACAACAATCAATTTAAAAATAAAAAATAACCAGAACTGCCAGAAAGTCTAACTGTATGTAAGTCTGACAACCAAGGAGTTAAAGAAAAAGAATTCATCCAGACTGGTAGGAGGGGCAGAGAAGGCCAGCAGGGGCACACAGGATGTGTGGCAAGGCGGTGTCTGTTGGACAAGGTGGTCCCACATTCGCCTGTGGATAAAGCATGAGGAACAACTAGGGAGCGAGACAGACTGCACAACCCAGGGTTCCAGTGTGGGGAAAAGAAAGCCTCAAAACTTCTGGCTGTAAATACCTGTGGGGGCTGAAGCACCAGGAGAAACTGCCAGTCTCACAGGACAGTCCGTTGGAGGGGCCCACAGAGTACTAGAGCATACACAAAACCACCCACTCAGGAATGAGCACTAGGGCAGCACCTGAAAAGGCACAATTCACTTATGGATAGCAGGGGAAGTGACTGAAAGCTGGGTGAGAGCCAAGCAAAGCAAATGGCACTGTTCCTTCTCTGACCCCTCCCCAACAGACAGCACCACAACCCAGCAAAGTGGGTTGCCCTGCCATAGCAAATACCTAAGGTTCCTCCCCTTACAACATAACATGCTTCAAGACACAGAAAAATGGCCTAAATGACAGAATAGATCAAAACTCCAGAAAAAAAACTAAGTGACAAGGAGCTAGCCAACTTATCAGATGAAGATTCAAAACACTGGTAATCAGAATGCTAACAGAAATGATTGAGTATGGATGTGAAGTAGAGAAAGAAGTGAAGGCTATACAAAATGAAATAAAAATATATAGGGGAGCAACAGTGACAGGAAGAAAACTGGGACTCAAATCAACACTTGGAGCAGAAGGAAGAAACATTCAACCAGAACAGAATGAAAAAACAAGAATTTAAAAAAATGAGGAGAGGCTTAGAAGCTTCTGGGACAACTTTAAATGTTCCAACGTCCAAATCATAGGGGTGCCAGAAAGAGCAGGGAAGGAGAGGAGCAAGAAATAGAAAACTTATCTGAACAAATAATGATGGAAAAGTTCCCTAACCTGGTGGAGAAAATGGACATGCAAGTCCAGGAAGCTCAGAGAGACCCGAAGAAATTGGACCCAAGGAGGAACATACCAAGGCACATCATAATTATATTACCCGAGATTAAAGATACTGAGAGAATCTTAAAAGCAGCAAGAGAAAAGGAGACAGTTACCTACAAAGGATTTCCTATAAGACTATCAACTGATTTCTCAAAAGAAACCTTTCAGGCAAGAAGGGGCTGGAAAGAAGTATTCAAAGTAATGAAAAGCAAGGACCTACATCCAAGATAACTCTAACCAGTAAAGCTATCATTTAGAATGGAAGGGCAGATAAAGTGCTTCCCAGATAAGGTCAAGCTAAAAGAGTTCATCATCACCAAGCCCTTATTATATGAAATGTTATAGGGACTTATCTAAGAAAAAGATCAAAACTATAAACAGTAAAATGACAACAAACTCACAACTATCAACAACTGAACCTAAAAAAACAAAAACAAACTAGGCAAACAACTAGAACAGGAACAGAATCACAGAAATGCAGATCACATGGAGGGTTATCAGCATCAGCAGGGAGGGAGAGGGGAGAGGATGAGGGAAAAGGTACAGGGAATAAGAAGCTAAGAAGCTTACCTGGTAGGTACAAAATAGAAAGGGGGACGTTAAGAATAATATAGGAAATGGAGAAGCCAAACAACTTATATGTACAACCCATGGACAGGAGCTAAGAGGGGGGAATGCTGGAGGGGGAGAGGTGCAGGGTGAAGGGGGATAAAGGGGAGAAAAGAATGGGACAAGTGTAATAGGATAATCAGTAAAATTTACTTAGAAAAATAAAGAAGTGAATCTACAATAATCATTATCATTAGAATAAACACTTAGTTATCTATGCAAATTGACTATAGTAAAGCTGAAAATCTCTTTAATTTGCCACCAAAAATATTTGTAAGTTACCTGTATCAGAATAAAAGGCTTTTGAATCATGTCCAAAAATTAGGAGAATCCTGAGATTTGGTTAAATAAGGACTAGCACATCCTCAAGAAGTACAAGGGAAAGGGATAAATTACACCACTCTCATCTTTAACTCTTTCAAATAAAATAAATCATGTCATTATGAACATCAATGGAAAAATCAATCACAAGAATATATTCATAAAATGTGAGACATATGATATCAGGGCTGAGTAAGAGAACTATTTATGGGCCAAATATATATATATATATATATATATATATATATGTAGTAAGCTACTATAGAGACATAACACTAATTGATATCATCTCCCCTCCAATTCTGCCTCATAAATGTGCATGATGTGCAATATCATTTTTAAATGATTAGAAATAACCTACATGTCCCAAATAACCAAGTACATAAATAAATGATACATCCATATAAAGAAATATTATGTAGTGAAAAAAAGAGTGGACACTCACTGTATATACTTTAAATTAAAAAAAAAAAATGTATGTATCCTTTTATAGGCATAAAATATATCTATATTAGTTACTCTGGTTACTTCAATGGAGGATAAGAGATGCAAGAACAGGAGGCATGTCACTATTTACTCTTTATCTTTGAGTTTTGTATAGTGTAGCTGTATTTTTCTATACAAAAGTTAATAAAATTAAGGGATTTTTTCCCAATGTTTAGAGAGTATAGAGTATGAGGGGTGGGGAATTATAACAGATGACATAGGAGAGGTAATCAGGAGCCAGATTGTGATAAGCTGTTTGGACTTAAACCTGTATGTAACGGGGAGCAACTGAAGTATATAAGATAGAAGTATAACATGAAGAGCTTTCCTTTTAGAAAATAAGTATCTAGACGTGGACTAAAAGATAAACTAGAGGGGGTTAAATGGGAAAATAATTTGGAAGTTAATTTAGTAATATGGATGATGATCTCAGTTAAAATAATTGCAGTTGGGATTAAAAAAAAAAAAAAAAAAAAAAGGACTCTGACCTATCAATTTCCCTGAGCCTCGATTTTTTCATATATAGAAGGGGGAAAATATCTTCACTAGACCATGAGAAAAAACAAAATGAAATTAAGTAGTGAATATACCTTTTAAGAGTAAAGCATTATACAAAAATATAATTGATTTTTTGTATTTGCAAACATATAATTTGCTGAAAACTGATTATAAAACATAACACTAAAACAGGATCAAGTAGGTGATAAATATTTCAATACAAGTGAATGCAATGTAAGCAGGCAATTTTAAAAGGCAGTTTTGTTTCATACTTGTTCTTGTCTCAGTTCAGCGAACGGCAGCTGATTCTGGCAACCAAGATGGCAAGCATATTGCTCATCAGATTGGGAATATGCTTCTGTACATGCTGTAAGAGAAAAACAGTCAAATTACGAGAGAGAGAGAAAGAGAGAGGGGGGAGGAGGGAGGGAGAAAGAAGGAAGAGGGGGGAAGATAGAAAAGGGATATGGTATTTTATGAAGAAATTTCTTGTCTTTAAAAAGCATTTCGTAAATATAAATTTCCAAACTTGGTAATAGTAACAAATGTATTATTTTAATAAAACCTCTATCTCCCACAAGTCAAATGTTTCAGGTATAATTTATTAATTACATACTCAAGTTCAAGTTGAAATTATAATATCAAGACAATATGATATTCATAAAAAGGGAGCCTCATAGCTAAGGTTTGCATAGTGGAAAACACACTGAACAGGCAAACTCATTGAAAAGGTAACCTGAAGTTTTGGCTCCATCATTTGCTGGCTGTGTATGTGACCTAGGCTGACTGCTTAACCTCTCTGACTATTGACTTCCATATGTCTAAAATGGAAATATAACCACATACTTCATGGGGTTGAACAAAAAAATATACTTTAGTGGTTTATACAAATATGTATTACAGTTCAGAACTGGGACACTTAGTTGAGAAGCAAGTGTATTCACATGGCAAGGGGAAAAAAAGCAATTAGTCTAACACCCTAAGTTCTGAGAAAATGGAACTTAGAAAATGTTCTGCAGCAGAATTCTAAAGTTGAAATGGGTCTCTACCAGCCACACTCCCGTCCTTTAGTTTACCAGAGCCACCTTTTCCTTGTGATAGAGCACTTCACCACTACAACAATCTTATTTTCTTCCCAACCCAGTTATGTATTTGTGATACACTTTTCAAAGCTGCTAGATCATAAACTGAACTGCATTATGCACATATAGAGATGGCCAGTGAGGAGACTGAGCCATACAAAATATGGTTATAATACCACAAAGGCTGGATGTTACTCATGGCATAGTGATAGGGAGTAAGACACTTCCTGCTCCACTGAATAAACACTATAATATAATGAATGGATAAAATTCCATTAAAGTTCTTTAAAAAGTTAAATGTCAATTTTATCCTAATTACAGGCTTCTTTATATTAAACACATCTCTTTCAGCAAAAGGTAAGAAAAGTGGTTTAAGAGATGACAAAGACTCTGGTTACTTCTTTTATTGGCATGACCCACAAAAAGAATACACTATTAAATACTGAATCAAAGGCCTGATTCAGTTAAAAAAAACTAGGAGCTAGGTCAACTAGTCTATGATTGAAAGGCTCAGGAAAATTATACTATTCATTGAAAAGGCAGTGATGAATTATGAGAAGGGTAATTACTACTGCATTTGTCTAAACCAAATACTTGCTTAAACAAAGGTGTCCTATCCACAGTACAAAATAACACTGTCTCAACAAACATGAAATTTAAAGCCCATGAAATTTCTAGTAGCAGCTACTAAAACTCTAACCTCATAATAATAAAACTTTGTTAAATGACTAGTTTAAACATTATGCTTGTCACTTTCTGAGGAAAATACATTAAAAGTGTAACACGACTCAAAGTATATTAAAATCATGTAACACCAATGTTATATACTGCTGACGTCATTAGCATAGCATCTTACCAGATTCACATTCCAATTTGGTCCGATTTAAATCAATTCCATCATCCACAAACTGACAAATTGAAAACAGCCTGCAACCTCTCTGACAGGCATACAGCTCCTCTTCCTAGGGAATTCAAGAAGAGGGAAAATTACCAAAAAATAGTAAATCTGCCTCAGGGGAAAACAGGTCAAAAGAAAATAAAGTTAGTAGGGTTTATTATAAACTGTCCAATAAAAAAACTTATAACTGAACAAAAAAATGACAGAAGCCAGGTAATACCCAAGACCTTTGCTATATAAAGAGGTTTTGGTTTCTTGTTTTTAAAGTGATATCCAAGAAGGAAGCCTAGTGGGTAAAATCACTCTTTTCCCATATTTCATGGAAAAAAATTACAAATAAAAAGAACAATGATATAATCAGAATTTTACCAGAGATAGAAATGAGTAAGTAAGTGCCTTAGGACCAATAGCATACTTCTGCCATATAAATATTTATAATAGTCATCAAGCTTATCAGGAAAAGTATCATGATTAGCTTCACAAGACAAATAGTGCTATAAAGGCCTCCACAAAGTGAGATGTACATCTATAAAAGTGCTTACACGAAAGATTTTAAAAAACTAGCCTGTTTCCTTAGTAGTAAAACAGAGACAACACTCTTAACATCAATCTTGAAGATAAGGATTATATATTATATATTCACAATATCATTAATACTGTATTATACTATCTAATAAATAAACATAACATTAATAATATATTTAATGGCACCCACAATGTGCCAGGCACTGTACTAACACTTAATATCTGATATAACAGGCAGCACAGAGTAGGCATTCAATAGGTAGCTATGAAGAATCATATCCTTGTTCCAAGTACATGTTTCATGTTATAGATAATATTATTACTCCAAGTAATAATTCATGCCCCATGTATCCCAAGTGACTGGCAAGCATTTGTAAAATGTATCTCCTCTGATTCAGAGCACAAAGAAATGGTCCTCCCCATCAACCAGAACGCCAGCTAAATAATTATACGTATTTTCACATCCTGAGCTAAGTCAGGCTAACTATTCTCTCATTATTCAGCACTATTAATATTACACATACCAAATTGGTTTAACGACACACTTGTACAACAGAAAAAACAACTACTGACATGTGTTAGGCACTGTGCTGAGAATGCCACATATATTATTTTTAATCCTCACACTAGCTCTGCAGGCTGTGAGGGTTTTTTCCTACAGCTGATAAAATGAAGTTAGGAGAAGTTAAGTGATCAGCAAGATCACACAGATTATGAAAGTGGGGCTGTGCGTGGAACCCAGGTTTATAAGGTCCCAGAGCCATAAAAAAAAAAAAAAAATTTAAAAAAAAATGATCAGGCTGGATCTAGTTAGCTTTGTTATCAACATAAACTTATGTCTCCTGAATTTGGACCCATGCAAATCATGCAATTGCACTTTTAAGGAAAGTTAAAGGGTAAAATATAATGATTTTAAAATAATTGCTTACAAACAGTTGAAGTATTATACTTTTCATACAACAAGTAATTCTGAAAATAAGTCTTTAATATGAGATCTCTCTGCGCCAGCTACAAACACGAGACCAAGAGAAGCTATGTGGAGCATGTAAATTTATCTAAGTTCATTTCTTATATAACACACTGCTTTTTCCTGAACTGCAAAGCACAGTAATTATGTGGAGGGCCAAGAGAAATCACAGAAATAAGTAAATTAATTATTTTTAATACAACTTTATTAACAGAAGGTAACATAATGTAGCCAGTTTTAGGGCTGAATTCCAACTACTCCACTAGTTCTTGGCTATGTGACCTTGGACAAGTCGCTTAACCTTTCGGAGCATCAATCTCCTCAATTGTAAAAGCCTACTTTGCAGGGTGGTTGTGAGAATTAGGGATAATAGGTATAAATCTCTCATCATACTAACTAACAAAGGGGAGACAATTAACAGATTTTAAATCCAGGACTTAAAAGGAGCCAGATGATTTCAAGTTCCTGGTGAGAACTTTAAAGAGTAAGTAAAAATGGCTTAGAGATATCACAGAGATTTTTAGGAAGTAGTAGATATTATAAAAATACTCAGAAGTTCCAAAATGTTTATCCTTTTGAATTATTTATTCTCCCAGGATTCTGGTTCATACTACAAATGTGCTAGGAAATCTCAAAAAAACAAAAACAAAAAAACCCAAACCAAACAGTTAAATGATACAAAATAAGTCTCCACCCCAAACCAGGCCAAATCAATATTAATATGTTTCCTCATACAATCCTCTTAGAAGAGAGAAGAAAATAATGTATTTAGGGGCATTCTACATTGATTTACGTCTGGAAGTCAGAATTTCTCATTTCTCTCTCTAGCTATATTAGTCTCTGACTGAAAATTTAGGGTAATACAATATCCTCTCCCACAATTTGTCTTGAAAACTGGTAATTCTCATGCAACGTAACATGTAAACAGGCATATGGGAAGTGACAGCATTAGAACTTCTCGTTTTAACGACCTGAAAATACTGGCCGGTAAGTTTCATCCTAACTTCATTGGATCTGTCCTCGCGGTTATTTTGTAGTTTGAGAGCAAAAGGGCTAGCCACACGGTTAAGCAAACAGCACAGAGATGAAGGAAAAATAAGGAAAGACAAGCAACAGCAACAAAAGCTCTTATAAATAAAGGCAGTGGAGCGAGGAAAGCATATAACTAAATTATGCGGGGGTGGGCAAAAATAGGTTTACATAATACAAGTAATTAATAAATAAGTAATAATACAAGAATAAACACTGTTTCTCGTTTCAGTCACAACTGTAAACCTATTTTTGCCCACCCCTGTATATAGGAAAGGGTGGAGGAGTCACCACGCGATCTAGAATGCTGAGTAAACAAGAGTTCTCAAGAAAATGAAAAAAACAACTTGGGAAGTAGAATGAACTTAAAGGAAATGCAGCACCTGTGGGGGGGGCGGGCGTGAAAGCAGGATCACTCCTCTCCCTAAGCTGAGACACCCCCCCCAACCCCTTTCCCCTGAGGTGCCGTCTCATTTCTTTACTCACTCCACGAATCCCCTGTCTTCCGCACCCAATGGTAAATTCTTATAATGCAGATCCATCTGCTTCTTCTCTAAACCATCCCAGTCCCTAAAGGCAGTGCCATGCACACAGTAATTCAACACAGATGGAAAGCCCTTCCGGTGCGTCTCACAACTCCTCGGGCTGACTTGATACATTTCATACCATAGCGGAATTGTCTACTGTCTGACTCCGGGAACACGCAGACTGTGAGCTCCGGCCCGGAGACGTGCTTAGTAAACATGGTTTATGAAGTAACCTTTTGTAGGCTTTGCCTATCTGCTCCTGTCCCCCGCCCCTGTCCCCGCGGTTCCTTACGCTCCTCGAAGGCGAGGGCCCGCGCTAGTAATCAGCATCCTTCTCCCGCTTGGAGTGCTAGACTCCCCCGATGCCCTGCAAGCTCCCAGAGGAAAGGGGTCGTATCTCTTTCATCTTTATGTCCCCCAGCCCATTACAGGGTAGGTGCGGCACAAACTTCCGGTAATTTCAGCTGGAGGAGAGTGCAGCTATGATTAGGGAGGGAAACAGGAGCGAAACAGGTGGGAGGCAGCGGTTGAATGGTGGATTCAATCGCCAGGTTCCCAGAGCCGACAGAGACGAGGGAGAGCGGAGAGATGGGCGGCCAGGGAAGGGTTGTAGCCCGGTTCGGACGGGCCCTACCTTAGGGTAGGTGTGCAAAGGGTAGGTCAACTGACAGACCCGGTGACAAGACGCCGTATCACCCAAGACCGAGTCAAACGCTTCGGCCGAAGCGGTTCCCGAGCCTCCGGCCAGAGCCATGGTCAGCAGCAGGAGCGGCGGGAGCCCCAATTGGGCCCTGACCCAGAGGCTCCCTCTTGGCGCCGCCATCTTGTCCCCCTCTCTCACGGCAGCTCAGATTGTTGCTGTTTTCCTTTCAGGGTTTCCTCCTCCTTCCGGCGCCAGACCCTTCTCCACTTCTCCACCCTCCTGGCCGCCGCTTCCGCCTCCGCCGTCCCTCTCAGTTCCGCCCAGGCTCGGGCGAAACTGCTGCCTCCGCCCCAGCTCGGGGTCTACGAACTTCTAGATTGGAGAGAAGAGGTGGAGCCAACAACGCGAGTACTAGGGCAAACCAGCCCCTACTTGTCTCCTTTCTTCTCTTTGAGGGGCACGCTGGGACACGTAGTTCTCCACAGGCGAGAGGCGCACAGTACGGTCGCGAAAGTTGCTCTGGAAGAACTACAGCCGCTCTGGGCGCGACCTCGCCCACTTCCTTCGCAGTGCATGCTGGGGAGTGTGGTTTGCTGTGCTCCTGAGGCGCTCTGCGGGCTGACGGTCTCTGTTCGGAAAAACTACTGCCCTGTAAGGAAGCATCCGTTTACTTTTATTAGGCTCGGGGGACTCAGGAGATGTTCTCTGAAGGGGCCTAGCTGCTGCCAGGGCTGCTTTTCCTGGTGGGTTTCACGTCAGACCGTTGCTAGTTCCCCTTTCTGGGCTCCCTGAGTGCTGAGGGAAGAGGAAGATGGTGTTTGTTTTTGCTTGGGAATCCGGAGGACTAGTCGCGGGTAGGGTCCTTTGACCACCAAGCAGTTCATGGAGATGGCTGCTTCCTGTGAGGACCCTGCTGAGATCTGGAAGTGGTTGTTGGTTGCTGGTTACTGGGGGAGCCCTTGGGATTGCGGCTGTGCTGGGGTGGTTGTTAAGAGAGCTTCCGTTTAACCCAGTGGAACAACTTTAACCCTGCCACAACCCAACCTAAGTTGAAAGAGGCTTGTCACTACGACCAGTATTGGCTTGGATCGATATTGGAGTCCCCACCACAGTGTGCACTTCCGAAAGTTGGGTCCTTCCTAACTCAGACCCACCATTGTACAAGTTTCATTTCTTAGGAAGATGTTTCTTTTTCAAGGAGAAAATCTTCCTGTAAATAGTCCTCATGATTCAGGAATGCTTCCAGAGTGTATAGACCCGATAGTGTCACTTTAGGGAGCACACATTCCAGCAGTTTTGATGACGTTTTAGAACCTGCCCTTTTTCTTGAGCAGGTCACACTGCAAGCACGTGAAGGTAGTTGGAGTCCCCTAGAAATGGATAAATTCGTCATTCGAACGCCTAGACTCCAGAGTAGTCCTCAGAAGAAAAATCCTGGAAGAAAGCTTTACAAGCAGGCCACGATTGAATCTCTGAAGGTGAGAGGGGATCTGGGACTTGAGAAAACATGCAAATGGACTACGATAGCAAGGTGGTGTGGAAGAGTTCTATGGAAGACCTGTGAATTATTTTTGCTCTGTTTCCTCCCCAAAGTGTACCCAACCACTCCTAATTTGTTTCCCCCATACCCTGTACTGACTTTTATTTATCAATTCCTGTATTCCTCTTACACTCTTCTCATTACTTTGGCTTTATAGTATATTTTTCCCCCTGTGTTATTCTTGTGCAAAATTTTGTCCATTAGGAATGTTAAAGTACCAAGTGATTCTATGTACCCTGTATAAACTCAGGCTGAGAGATGATTGTATACCCTCCTATCTTGTTGGCCAGAACTGTATCACATGACCTCCATCCATAGCTACAGCTGAGAGTGAAAGAGACTGTTTTAATGGACTCTTTGCAGCCTGAGTGTTTTAGCAAGAAAGAATCAAGGAATAGAGACAGAATCAAGGATAGACAACTAAGAATAAGTCAATCAACAAAGATACCCAATTAATCTGTTTCCTTTATTGGTTTCTCCTCCTCTACTAGTCCTCTACTAGACTTCTAATGTTTGTGCTCCCAAGAGCTTTGTCATGTCTCACGTATTTAGCCAGGGTGATCTTATTCATCTTAAGACTTCCCATGCTGATGACTGCTTATTTGGACCTCCAGCCTAGATTTCTTTGGGTGAGAATGGAATCTGGGGCTACAGAAAATGTGCAAAGAATTGTGATAGCAAGGTGGCATTCTGTGTACTTGACTTATATACTCAGATGGACTCTTCTAGATATGCCACAGGCTTACCAGATCCAGAAAAGAAAGCAATGAAGGGGAGTACAGTAAACAACAGCCCAGGGTTCTAGCCCTTACTGTGCAACTGGGAGTTCTTCAGCAAGTCATTTCCTTCTCTGGGATCTGTTTGCCCTCATTTGTAAAATGTAGGGTTAAACAATGTCACTGTTTTTTGAAAGGAGCACTGTTGTCATTTGGGTTAAGATAATTCTTAATTGTTTGAAACTGTCCTGTGAGTTGTAGAAAGTTTTAATGACCCTGGCCCTCAGACATCTCCTATTGTTCTAACCAAGAATACCCTCATATTTCCAAGCAGCTATTGGTTGATTGGTTGAGACCTACTGAACTCTAGATCATCTTTAAAATCTTTCCTTGTCTTGCAGTTCTGTGACTTCATGGAACACATTCAAGTTTTCAACTGTCTATGTTTTTTTAGAGTATTCATGGATAATTGTATACAGCAGTGACTCTCAATGAGGGATGGTAGTGGGCAGGATTGTGGGATCAGACTGTGTGGAAGGAAAAAAGGAGGGTAATAATTAAACTACACGTACACTCACATACAAACACCCAGATTCTAATTTACTTCTACCTGACCCTTCTACCCTCTATGTCTCTACTATTGTGTCCCAGTTGAGAATCACTGTATGATGATGAGAATAGGTCATATGAAGATTATGGAATCAAGGTAAACAGTAGGCACATGGAATAACATTTCTATTAAATGCAATAGCTTTTCTTTCAAGCTTGTTATTTATTCTCCTGTATTTCTTTTTATACCCATATACCAAGTAACTAGGACTAGAAACGGAAACATCCTTAACTCTTTTCTCTCTTGTATCCAGTTTTTCAATTCTGCTTCCTAAAAATCTTTCCTGTCCTTACATCTCCCACTATGAATTCAAAGCTGTTATTCTTATCTAGAGCAGTGCCATGGCCTGTTAACTTAGCATCCCCCTGTCATTCTCTTCTCCACACATTAGCCAGAGAAGTAAGTCTTAAAAAAATGAAAATCTACTCAAGTCATCTCCATGCCTAATCCTTCAGTGGTTTCTCATTCCCTGTCAATAAAGGCATTTCTTTATATGACACACAAGGCCCTCTATGACCTGGTACCTGCCAGCCTCATCCTCTGCTGGCTTTTCTAAAGTACATGTCATCCAGTGTCAGCCACTCACAATTTACTGATATGTGCTCTTTCATACCTGTGTACTGTTGCATATGCTTTCCTGTTTCCCTAGAATGGCTTTATTCCCTTCTCTTGGAGATGATATGGTATAGTTATTAAAAACACAGACTCTGGAGCCAAACTGTCTATGTTAAAATCCCAGCTCTACCATTACTGTTGGTGTGATGTTGGACAAGTTATTTAGCATCTCTGTGTCTTTTGTCATCTATAAAATGGGATTATAATAATATCTATAAGGTAGTTATGAAGTTTGAGCAACTCAATACTCAAGGTGGGGCAAAAGAAGGTTTACAGTTGTGAGTATGCAAAACAGTTTATTCTTGTGTTACTATTTTCATATTATTTTCCATACAAACAACTGTAAACCTCCTTTTGACCCACCCTCTATGTAAAGTGTTTGCAACAAAGCCTGGCACATTCTAGGTACTATGCAAGTGTTTATGAAATCCTGTTTGTTCACCATGATCTAATTCAAGAGTCTCCTCTACTATGAGGCCTTTCCTGACCACCTTTCTGTCCACCACATACAGAGCCAATATAATCACTTCCTTCTTGTTGATTTAAAAAATAAAACAGCCAGTTATTTGTACCAGTAAAGATGGGTTTATTTGGGATTGGCAGAGAACTGAAATTCAACACAAACATTCTATGAGGTCTGTCCAGAAAGTATCCATCCATATAATATGAAAAACAGAGACAGTTATTGAAGAAGATACAAGATACAAGAAACATTATGCATAGGACAAAGATGCCTCAGTCCCCTTCACAGTAGGCACCTTGGGACCTCACACAGTTCTCCCAGTCGCCATCAGCTGCCCCATTGTATTTTCCTGAATGTCATCAATGGTCTGAAATCTCTTCCTTTTTAAAGGTGATTTTAGTTTTGGGAAAAGCCACAAGTTGCAGGGCACCAAATCAGGGCTGTAGAGGGACTGAGTCACCTGGGTGATTTGATGTTTCACCAAAAAACTCTGCACGTGGCATGATGCATGAGGAGGCACATTGTCATGATGAAGCTGCCAATCACCAGTTGCCATAGCTGTGAATCATCAAGAATAGTTTCCGCAGAGGAATGTTCAAGCTTAACACAAAATTCGATGCAGATTTGTTGTGCTACTCAGTCATTTTTAATGTGATGGCCACACAGTATACAAGCTCACTAGTGGCATCTACCACCCCCACTGAATAGTACAGTGAAGTCATCATTTGTTCCCACAGACACATTCTAGTCCACTCTCCTTGGCTGCTGGGTTACATCAATGTTGTGCAAATCATTCTCATTATGTTAACAATGGCTGGACTTTTTCTGGGCAGACCTTGTATAGCACAAGCTACAGGCAAGTTGAGTAAACAAAGGAGAGCAAACTTTATAGAGAAGAAAGAGGAAGTTGGGGAGGGGTGCTTTGAGGGTAAGTCCTTTGGAGGAAAGAGTTCAGAAGTGGTGATGGCTTCTAATTGGCTGAGTTTTGAGGATTGCCATTGGCTGTGTTTGTTGCTGGGCAAGTAGAAAATCTTCCATCTACCTTTGGTAGTACAGTAGAGACACTTCTTATTGGGAATGCAAGCTATGATCTCTTCCTATTCAGGTCTGCAGTTGGCATCTATTGGTAGTTTATGACAGCTCCTTCTGACCTCCAAACTCCATTTTAAATGAGGTTCCTTTATTGTTTTACATTCTCTAAGCCATCTCTGTGTCTTCTTTCAAAAGTGTCTTTTTGTAAAAGATTTTATTTATTTATTTTTAGAGAGAGGGGCAGGGAGAGAGAAAGAGAGGGAGAGAAACACCATTGTGTGGTTGCCTCTTGCGCACCCCCTACTGGGGACTTGACCTGCAACCCTGGCATGTGCCCTGACTAGGAATCAACTCACAACCCTTTGGTTCACAGGCCAGCACTCAATCCACTGAGCCACACAAACCAGGGCCCATCTCTGTATCTTAACATGCCCCTGCCATTGCA